TAGTCTAATCTTGGTTGTGTACACAAACAACAATAGTAAATAATCTATTCGTTACAAAAAGAACCTTGTTAAGGATCTAGATCTACTCAGCTATGTGTCAACTTTTTCTCATTTTGATACGTCATTATTTAACATTGTCAGAATTTCTAACTGTGATATAGATATGCCTTTGTCACTGACAAAACTCTATGTCTGTTTTATTGACACATATGTGTCTGCCTGCCTGTCTGCTAATGACAATATGCAATACACAACTTCGATCACTGACCTCATGCAATTTGAACTTAACACCTATCAGGCTATACACCATAAACAAAACGCATTGATTTTATGGCTCATGCACCTGAGTTCTGTCTCTGTCACATTATGTAATTACACAGATAGGCAGGTGTGATACTTGTACACATGACATGTTATGATGTCTGTTGATTGCAAAATGTTATACACAACAAAAACATTAGCATGTATTTACAAAACCCAACATCTCTATACAAACACAAGGAGCTCTGAGGGTATCGGCAAAATGAACCAGCCAATGAAAGTCATCGTTACACTTAAGTGCACGCCCACCCGCTCTGACTGGGTTCGGTATCCCGGGTGCTTCGTTCAGGGGAAGTAAACCCAAGTACAAAATATTGCACTTTTGATTTGCGATTGTCCGCTTATAATTTTGTTTATTTGTTTTTTTCATAATCATCAATGTATATTATATGTCATGAATAAATGATAATTGTGTTTTAATTATGTTTATTTTGTTGGTTGCATCTAAGCCTTAAGGGATGGCTCATCGGCCTCTATGAAGAGACTGTCAACAGGAGAGGTTCTGACAGACCAAAGACAAAGTCTTAGAACTTGGTGGTGGACAGAATCTAATAGTTTTAGGTTGCTTTTGCAGGCTCCGCCTACCTTCAGAGTTTATATCCATATTTGTCCATGGTCAGTTCTGAGCACATTCCAACCTTTCATAACTACAGTTTACATAGTGTACAGCTGTATGGAGTAAATTATACTGATTACGGGAAGACGATCTGGTTTGATCAGTTTTCGCGAGGCCTGACGACCTGGTTCGAACAGTTTTAGGCGAGGCCTGACGACCTGGTTCGAACAGTTTTAGGCGAGGCCTGACGACCAGGTTCGAACAGTTTTAGGCGAGGCCTGACGACCTGGTTCGAACAGTTTTAGGCGAGGCCTGACGACCAGGTTCGAACAGTTTTAGGCGAGGCCTGACGACCTGGTTCGAACAGTTTTAGGCGAGGCCGACCAGGTTCAAACAGTTCGACGATCTGGTTCCAACAGTTTTCGCGAGACCCTGACGATCTGGTTCGAACAGCTTTAGGCGAGGCCTGACGATCTGGTTCGAACAGTTTTCGCGAGACCTGACGACCTGGTTCGAACAGTTTTCGCGAGACGAGACCAGCTTTGACGACCTGGACCAGCTTCGAACAGTTTTACAGTTTTCGAAGAGGCCTGACGATCTGGTTCGAACAGTTTTCGCAAGGCCCAACCAGCTTCGGCCATATGGTTCGAACAGTTTAGGTGAGGCTTGATGATTTCTCTGCTACCATTCATGTTATTCTCTATACACGCCTTTTATATTTATTTGTGGTCAAATGATAATATTGAGTTTCAAATCGGATTGTTCTTTTATGGGTGAGTTTCTACAGAAATGCTTACTGGTCATGACGACATATTCTATAATGTATGTCTGTATCATGGAAGCTGTCCCCCTTTCTATGTTAAATCATTTAAATCCATAGTTTTGTTGCAGTTAAGCGAATTGTTTTACGTGCCTGAAACGGGAAGTATACAAATGCATATATAATCTATTCTTCGATCTTTGAAACCAGTATAAGAACTTATCCGTGAGGTGGATTCATTGTTTAATAAAACTCTAATGGGAATTATGTGCGCGTCATAACTCGTTATTGTTCCTCCATCTTTCCACCTAAAAAGAGCACAAACGCGTTCATGAAAACACCTATGTTTTACAACTGCCTAATGCTTAGGAAACTCTCAGTCAAAGTGACGTTTGACCAGATATAGGATAGGTATATTTTAAATAAATGTATTTCTAGAAATATATCAAAGCATTATATCTTCCTTCCCATTCTCATACAACGACCGACTCCGTGGTGTAGTGGTTAGAGCGTCCGCCCGAAGAGCGGAAGGTCGCAGGTTCGATCCCCGACCGAGTCATACCAAAAGACGTTAAAATATGGTACTTGTTGGTCCCTGCCTGGCGCTCGACATTAATGGGTACAACAAGGACTGGTCGGCTCGGAGTCAGTATACTGTGTCTGAGTGGGGTATTCATGCTTCACTGCGGCATGGTATCTCAGTGAACTAGCACTATAAAAAACCAGCTTCAGTCTTGGCTAGTAGAAGCAGCCGCACATACACATACACACGCATGCACGCCGTCATATGAGCGAAATATTCTCAAGCACGACGTTAAACCCAATTTCACCTCACCTCATACAATGATGTTGTTGTGTCGTGTTTCAAAAGGATTAAATTGTTATCTCAAGAGTGTACATAAACTATTTCAGTTTTCCGCGTGTGATAAAATTATATCATGAAACTACTTGTTCAATAATCTGACAGTTACACCGATGGCAACACCTGTTGTCAATAGTTGGTAGGACATTCACGCAGCCTATACCGAGTACAACAGTTTCTAACAGTAAGTAGTTTTCGATAATTTCAGTTAATCCTTATCAAGCTCATTATCGTACGACCTTTGTCAATAGATTAAATACATATATGGAATGTTCATAGCGTTCATAGACCGCCTACGTTGTGTAGTGGTAACAGCGTCCCCCCGGAGAGCGGAAGTCCGCGGGTTCGATTCCCGCCCGCGTCATACCAAAAGACGTTAAAATGTACTTGTTGGTCCCTGCCTGGCGCTCGGCATTAATGGGTAAAACAAGGACTGGTCGGCTCGTAGTCAGTATAATGTGTCTGAGAGGGGTATTCTAACTAAGTCTGGGCTAGTACAAGCAGCCAGACATACACAAGCATGCACGTCGTCATATGAGCGAAATAATCTTAAGTATGACGTTAAACCCCATTTCACTTCACCTTGGTGTTCATTTGTTTATCTAGGTACAATGTGTTAAGCCCATTTCTGGTGTCCCCCGCCGTGATATTGCTGGAATATTGCTAAAAGCAGCGTAAAATCAAACTAACTCACACACTCACTCATTTGTTTGTCAACAAGCTTGAACACCTCATGAAAATGACACGTAAGCACCGTCATATATTCCGTTCTATTGTGTAATCATTTCTGGAATAAGGTTTACTCACTTTCAAAGGTCAAGGCCAGTGTTAAAGGTTCAAATGCTCATTTAACAAAAGTATACTGGGTTTTAGCATGTCTGCATCTGTTCATGACATAACCTATTTGACATACTAAAATAGTTTTTACTAACCTTTTTGTGAGTGTTGAAACGTTTACCCATACAGTTTATATTGAGCTATTAGAGCACAGAATACACCCTAAGAAAAAATAACCAGGTTCGTTTATTCGACGAAATAGAGTCCATAAGATTCAAAATAGTGATGACAAATATATGAAAGAATCACTGAAAATAGTTGTTGACTCCAAGTTTTTGCGAAATGGGTAGTCATTTTCTGCTGAGACTGCAAAGTCAATCACGTTTTTTTTTAAAAACATATTTCATATATTTTTGCCTAACGCTGCACATAGCAACAACGAAAGTTTTAAGAGTCAAACAAAATAGTAATCGGAACGGATAACTTTCAAAATAGAACAAACTTTATGGATAACAACTTCTTTTATTTGTCAGTGTAACGTTGATATAGAGATTCTTGTACCGTTGTCATGCTTGACAACGGTACAAGAATCTGTATCGGAACGTTGCACTCACGAATAAAAGAAGTTGTTATCCATAAAGTTTGTTCTATATTGTACTTCCCAACTTCTAAAATGCCACTCAAAGAAGGATAACTTTCATTTAAGTCATTAGTCGAGTTGTTTCGTTGAAATGTCTGAAAGGCTTTCTATATTTCCATTTTAGATGCAAACCCACCAGAGACGGTTACTCTATTTTGAGGGATCAGTTTCATTATTGATTATCCTTGGATCTATCGGCGCAGGATCCACACATGGTTGCACTACTTCACCGGATGTCTTCTATCAAGGAACCTATGTTAACTGCAGTAAGAGGAACTTAACAAGCCTACCCCAAGATCTGCCGAATAACACGACGAGTTTGGATCTGAGGTTCAATATCATTTCAAGCCTCCCCAACAAATCACTGATTTTGTCTTCTCTAAGGTATTTGCAGATTGCATTTAATGGTATTGAGCGTCTTGATGCTGGGGCATTTTGGTTCATACCAAACATCGAGGAACTGTATCTGAATGACAATAAACTGTCACTAACTTCGACTACTTACCCGGATAATGTTTTTCTGCCTCTACAGAAGCTCCAAAAGATCCATCTGCACAACAACGATATTCGTCCTGTAGGTCAATATCCAGACAATGCAATAGGAAAACTCGGGAATCTCAAAGAATTGAAAATTGACACTTTTGAAGACACTCATTTTGGACAAGGATTTGCCAGACTGCAACGTCTGAAATTTTTGTTACTCGGCTTTGGTAACTGTAAATTGTCACGTATCAGTAATGATACATTTGAATCCTTTGCCAATGTTACTGTTGAAACCGTTGATCTTCGTTACTGTCCGATTATTTCGATACAGATAAATGCCTTTGCACACTTCAAAGGTATAAAAAACTTGAATCTTTCAAATGCATTCCCGTTATCCCCTAAAGAAGCTGTATCTGCATTGTATGGGTTAAGAAAAAATAACATGACATCGATCATGATCAATAACATATTCAAATATTTCAACCTTGTGGATTTGTTAACGCTGAGAATATTAGATAACCAAACAATTTTATCCCTGAAAAATATCTGTGTTGAAAGATTTGAAATGACCAACAGCAGAATATTATGGATCTCTTCAGCAATGTTGAGCAATGGAGGATCACGACTTGCGTCGTGTGTCAAGATTATTGATTTGTCTGGTAATGACTTATGTGGAGACCCGGAAGTCCTGATAATGTTGTCATATTTGCCAAACCTTATCTCTCTAGATTTGTCAAACAGTTATGGTGCCAAACAAGGACCCAAAAGTGTACGAAATTTTCAGGTATGCCAAAAATCAAATATCACTCTTGGAATCACATTACCTGAGAAATTGGTAAATTTACGTTTCAGCCCCAAGAACGTAGGTTGTTTTTATAATATTAATTTCTATAATGCCTCATCTCTAAGACATCTTGATATATCATATGCAGGTCTTGACAGATTCAGCAGCAAAGTCGCGGGAATCGAAGGTTTGACCTATTTGGATATCTCGGGTAGCAATATTGCAGGAACAACTGTGTCAGCTTTTAAGTGCTGTCCTAAGCTTGAATATCTAATTATGGCTGATGCTAATCTTGATCAGGGAGATGTACTATTTCGACTTAAGCATGAGTTATTGTCTCATTTATCTCATTTACATACACTAAGCCTAAGTTCCAATAACCTTCGACTTTTGGATGTAAATATGTTTCAAGGCACTGCGCTGAGGAAGCTGATTTTGTCAAATAACAGATTTTCGACTGTCCCAATTGATGTAACAACAGTGCCTCATCTATGTCAGCTTGACCTCAGTTTTAACTCACTGACTGTTCTATCATCAACTGAAATGAAACAACTTGATGACCTGGCAACCCAAAATAACTTCTCCCTGAATCTTGATGGGAACCTTCTTACCTGTGGCTGTAAGACGCTAGACTTTATAATGTGGTTGTTCAAATCAAAGGTTCAACTACAAAAAAGAAACCACCAATGTGTAAGGGACGACGGATCTGTGGTGAACACCACCTACATCTTTGAGCACCACGATGAAGAATGGCGACGGTGCTCTGGAACGTTCTGGTTGTATATAAGCATAATACTTGCAGTCATATTTCTGTTAGCAATGGGTATAGTATCAATGATAAATCAAAGAAAAACTCTACTCGTCAATATAATTCTTCGGATGTTCGGTTTCAAGACAGTGAAGAAGGCCTTGACAAGAAATGATTTTCCCAATGATGCGTACATCGGATACAGTGATAGCGATTACCAATATATTTGTCACACAGTCAGAGCTCACCTAGAAGATCAGAGCGGGCTTAAGCTATTCCTCAAGCACAGAGACACCATCCCTGGAGGACAAATTGCTGACGACATCATCGACGGAATAGATTCCAGTTGGAAAATGGTCCTCATTATCACTCAGTCCTTTCTTAGAGGATCAGTGGTGCCGCTTCATTGTCAACCGTGTTGTGTATTCGTCTTCTAGAATGCCCGCAGGGAGCATTGTTCTGGTGTTGTTTGAGGACGTGAGACGAGGGGACATCCCTCCCACCTTACTGAACGTTGTGGAGGAGAGATACATCTTCAGTGTGGGTAGATACAGGGGCGATGAAGGCAGGCTGTGGGTGGAGGTCAGCCAATGCCTCAAGACTTGAGATGTTTGATTTAACACCTTTGTAAACATGTCAACTTGATTTATAATGCATGCTGTGGCATTTTAAATATTGACGCATCAGTGATACAAAGAATGTTTGTTACAATGCCCTATTCTGACTTGTACTATATGTTCCCATGATTTTTCAAATGAACATTTGACGTGCTTTTGCATGGATTGTTTCACCGATGGGCCGGGATACCATCACCGTTTACTGTAAGCTTTGTGTCGTTATTATTTGATAGTAATTCATTACCTCATGCTTATGGTATGGTGATTGTTTTTATACAATATGTGTAACTTGTATTTAATTGGATAAAACTGATTCAAATGTTTTAAAAAATGTGAGTAGAATAGTTGGCCTATCGTTGAAAACAGATAATATAGAATACGACCTTGGAAGCACTTAGAGATGGAAACGTTTGACCAGAATGTATGAAATCTATCAGCATTATATAACTAAACTAACAAATTACATTCAGTCCTTTTGCTACTTCTGTGAACATTTACTACCATTGTTTGACACTTTGGTGTCTGCCAAAGCGTTGGTCTGTTCGGGAATTTTCTTCCACGCCATTGCACGGAGTGGATCTCATTGAATACTTTCTACACATTCAACTGCTATTCTCAAAATTGGTCCCATGACACCCTGTCTTACGATGAATGTGGCAGTGCCGTCGTATATAATATCCTTGAACTTATGGCAACGGGTAATGATAGCTTTCCTGAGAACGACTATGACATTCTTATGTACATGTAGTGTACTGATTGTGGATAAAAAAACACATGGATCTGCTGTGTGCATGATTTCCTCGGTGTATTGAAGTGAGGATAAACTAACTACCTTGCCTTAAATTGTATAACACTTTGCCTTTGATATGTATCAATCTAAACTGCTCAAGAAATAACATATACAAACAGTGTAAACGTCTATCCGTTGGCGGGTGGGGGTGGATGTGGATGTGGGTATAGATTTGGGTGTGGATGTGGATGTGGATGTGGATATAGGTGTTGGGTGTGGGTGTGGTGGGTGGGTGGGTTTAGGATGTCTCAATTTTCTAACATCACAAGTTGTGTGAAGATCACCTTTTGAAAGCTTGACCGTTATTGCAGTTGCAGCTAGTTGAATATAATCATCACTGTCTTTGTTGCTGTAATTACACTCTCAAGTTTGTATTGATAATGTGATTTGTAATTCTAGTTATTCTTAAAACGCAATAATACTTTTGTTAATTAAACATTTCTTTCTTGTTTGCTGGTTTAACTGCGAGTCCTCTTACGTACAATCTTCGAAATCATTGAAGATAGGTGAACTTATCCTTAACGTCGATGATTTCAGTTACACGACGTTCATGCGCGCGTGTGTGTGTTGGTAGAACCATATCTTGTTGCCTTACATTCAACATGTCAAATCGTTTCTGGCCCATACTTGCTTTGACTCGATCATTTTATAGTGATATCTGGATGAGTGTAAATCCTTAAAAATTAATGCGACAATGAAATTAATGCGAATATACGTATGTGATCAGGGCGTATTGGAGTACCCTACTAAGTCAGGCTCATTACACTTAGCTAGCAACAATGAAAAATATAAGAAAGCTCATGATGTAAATGAGATCTAGACACTGATCTGCACATTGTTCAAGGGTTTCCAGGTTACCTCGCCAGTCTTGATCCTATCGCTTGCTTGTTAGTTTTTGTAAGTCTCAAAGGCAGGTCTACGCGTACTAATTTCATGGCGCACATTCGGTCAGGGGTACGCATTTGATGATGCGTATATTTCCAGTATTATCTAACTTCGACGTTAAATAACAAACAGTCTTAAGACACGTTGTAAATACAAAACAAAAGCCGACCCTGTCTGTTTCAAACTCTCCTGAACGTCACCTTTGCAGTACTACCAGAAGATAACGACAAGGAAACAAGACAGTTTTCTTCCTGTTTCGCCACGGGTCTCCAACGAGGAAAGTCCTGAACAACATCGATTAGCGTTATCAGTTACCTCCCGTTATCTGACACAGACCTGACACAGATTACTCAACAAACACTTGGTATTCTGATTTGACACACAAAAGGCGACTATGCTTGTCGTAAGAGGCGACTAACGGGATCGGGTGGTCAGGCTCGATGACTTGGTTGACAGATGTCATCGGTTCCCAATTGCGTAGATCGATGCTCATGCTGTTGATCACTCGATTGTCTGGTCCAGACTCGATTATTTACAGACCGCCGCCATACAGCTGGAATATTGGTGAGTGCGGCGTAAAACTAAACTCACTCACTCACTCACTCTGATTTGACAACTGACAAATGATCCGGACTTCAGAGGACCGCCTCCGTGGTGTAGTGGTTAGAGCGTCCGCCCGGAGAGCGGAAGGTCGCGGGTTCGATCCCCGACCGCGTCATACCAAAAGACGTTTAAATATGGTACTTGTTGGTCCCTGTCTGGCGCTCGGCATTAATGGGTACAACAAGGACTGGTCGGCTCGGAGTCAGTATAATGTGTCTGAGTGGGGTATTCATGCTTCACTGCGGCATGGTATCTCAGTGGGCTAGCGCTATAAAACCAGCTTAAGTCTGGGCTAGTAGAAGCAGCCGCACATACACATACACATACACACGCATGCACGTCGTCATATGAGCGAAATATTCTCAAGCACGACGTAAAACCCAATTTCACCTCACCTCAACTCCGGACTTCAGTATCCAACATGCAGAGAATGGGAAAATGAGTTTCTTTCATCCAATTTAACCACTTTATGTAGGAGACATTTATACAAACCTGAACCGATTTTTGCAAAATTGCTAGCTAATCATTTTCCAAGTGTTTACTAAGTCGGTCATTATTTATTTCTTCAACAATTTTAAAAATTACAAGTTTGATGGTTTAAAAATGTGGCTTACAATACTATTTTGATCATATACCATGCAAATCCCATGCCGATCCGTGCCTGAATCCACTACCCTAGGTTCGAATCCAAGATCAATCCAAGAATGATCTTTTGTATGACAGCACTCACCCTTGTCATTCACTGTTCAAAGTGAAAACTCTAAGAATGGATTGTCACTTTCATAAATTTATGGAAATGTATAATATTGTCGGAGATTCATATTACATGACATATTAAAGTGAACAGAAGTTGACAGATAGATATAACATTCCCATGGTGTATTATGCTGCATATCGTTTTAGTTTCCAGGCAATCAGCGAACTCGCAGTAGTGCCGTATCTGATCAAGGCTCGACTGTTTCCAGGCCGCCGTCCCTCGGACATCAGGCAGCAAACATATTTTTTTCGTAGATTGTGTGAGTGGTGGGTGCTGTCGGTGGTTTTATCTGTGAAGCACTTGGAGTTGGAAAGATCTTTTCGTAAATAGACACATGTAAGTGGAAAAAACAACCTTCTTGTCGAGACATAAAGATGCTCGGTAGTGAAGATGTCGGGAAGAAGGTGGTCTATGTGTACTTCTGTGAAACAAGAAGCTGAGCACATTGTTCATCAAGGGTTTATCTATTAGACTTTCTGGGACACTTGTGAATGTTTTAAATGTAACATTCAACAACAGTGGTGGACAAGCACGGCGACATGGACCTACTGACTGGACACAAGAACTTGCCTTGTCGATATATAAACATGTCCAAGGACGTGTCCGAAGGTGGTCTATGTGGCAAGGGTAAACATTTAGTACCGATTCACCCTCGAGAAAAAACTGAACCTAAAATGAAGAAGAGACATTCTCCTGGATTAACTCCGATCGATGAAAACAAAGAATACGAAGGAATGAAGAATACGATATAGTTTGATCACAAGCCCTGTTTCATTTCTATTGACAGACAAAACAAATCTGATATACTCTGAACTGTTTGAACGCGATCGTTTACAGACCACGTCGTTCTGTAATACTGCTGAATGCAGGGTTAAACAAACACTTATTCATGATATAGTCGGAATTGTATAATCGACTCTGCTTTAAGCAGAGTTTTCATATGGGTGTGGAAAGGGGTTTTGTCGTCATTTTCCCACTACTTGGTCATAAAGGTTCATTATGTAAGTGTGGACATGATAAAAGACCCATTAGGCAATTGATGTTGTGAAATTCCCGTTTGCTGTACAGCATTGGTGCAAACAATATGTTGAGCGACATGATGGCGTGGCTCGATACCTATATTACCGTACTTATATTGGCTTAGGTCCAGAGATACCACCCAGATTATGTAGAGGGCGCCATGGATATAATTTTTAGGAATAGGCCCGAAGATATCCAGGCATACAACCATTACCTTCGTATTTTCATACAGTACACAGTTCATTTCTTATATGCAGTGAAATCATAGAACCATCCCATTGCATTTGACACTATTGTGACTCTCAAAGTTCGGAAAACACGAAACTATTCCATACGAAGTCCCATTCGCTTTAACGGTGCCTCGTACGTCAGTGTCAGGAAAATAGATACAATATCAGGTGTTTGACAGGCTGTAAGATGATGCTGGTTGGTCGAAAAGAAAGAGGAAATGATATACTCACTTCAACCTCTGCATCATTTTCGGTAATATATGAACACTTTCGAGGCACCTCGAGGAGAGCATATGAAATTGATAGTGAGTGAGTGAGTTTCGTTTTACGCCACACTCAACAATATTCCAGCTATATGGCGGAGGTCTGTAAATAATCGAGTCTGGACCAGACAATCCAGTGATCAACAGCATGACCATCGATCTGCGCAAATGGGAACCGATGACACGTGTCAACCAAGTCAGCGAACCTATATGCAATTGATAAGAATTAACTTAAATTTGAGCTGTTTTGGATAAATATGCACTGGAAACACACCTTATGTCAACAAAGACAACTAGTCTTGGCCTGGGGTTGTTGTAATACAAATGTCTTTTATATATCAGTGCGTATGTATAGATATTTAGAGTGGAAATTGTTGGTTCAATGTGGCATAGCTTTCCTTTATTGCGTCCTGTAAGTCCTTGTAACGTTTTCCTGGAAGGTTTGTATTTTTACAGGTTCATTAACATTGAAATATGTTCCCTATGTGTCTGCTTTCACAAATGTGTTCACCCTTTCTATATAGATGTGTTTGTATTAGCATTTAAAGTGATAGGATGAAAAAAGACATGATTGTTTTGACGTTAAGCATTGGTGGGATAGGTTTATTGTTGTCCAAGGTCATCAAATTCGTTAACATAAGAAATGGCATACTAACAGATAAAATCTGATTCTATTACAAAAGGTTGTGTCAACGTTTCAAATTACACCCACAAATATTTACTAGCAATAATAATCGTGACGAGCAAACGCTTAAACCACTAGGCTACCCCACCGTCCCTAAACATTATGGAATGAAAACAATGTGCGAAACAGATATACTAGTCATGCAATTGATTTTAGATGTCCATCGCCCGTCCCATCACTCACAAAGCACATACACCCATTAGTGCTTGTGTGTGTATAACGTGCTTCTATACAAAGATGCTATCTAATACAAAGCCATCCGACATTTATGTGTACATTAATTAATCATCGCGATTTCCGTTCAACCTGGTTGAAAACATTATGATGTTAAATAGCCTTTGTTCACCGTTAAGCCTTTGGTTGCTGATCTCACCTACCCTCATTGCGGTTTTATGAGCTGGTATTGTTTGCCTTGCGTTAGCAATGGTAGCTGTCGTATGTCAGCTGCATACAGTGTGTCTCAATGATGAACGACAGCGGTTGACAGGCAGTTCGGTGTTTCACAACAATATCGTTAAGAGGACGTGTATAACTCTCTGAAGGCTTTCAAATAAGGGAGGGCGGCGGGGTAGCCTAGTGTTTAAAGCTTTCGCACGTAACGCCAAAGAACCGGGTTCGATTCCCCACATGGGTACAATGTGTGAAGACCATTTCTGGTGTCTCCCGCTGTGATATCGCTGGAATATTGCTAAAAGTGACGTAAAACCACTGTGGCGACGATACAACGTTACATTTTCTACCATATGCATGTGCATATATGTACGGATACCTGAAATATTGCTATTTAGCGATTTATTTTCACTGCTGCACGTTCATCTTCCAAATTAGTGAGTTAGTGAATATGGTTTTACGCCGCTATTCCAGCAACATCTAGCCGGAGGACACTCCCATTTAGATATTTGGCCGTTACGTTTGCAGCGTTTTGATAAAGAAAAAAAAAACGTTTGTAAATCTTTAATTAAATTCAGTTTCCAAATTTCTACTGTCATGCTCGACAATTTAGTTGAATGGTACTCTTTCTTGATTGTGAAAAAGGTATAGGTTTTTATCTACTACAAAAGACAGTTTACCAACCGGAACTGTGAAGTCGGTTATTTAAAGCCCTTAATTATAAAATCACGACCTCAAGTTTTAAGATCTAATAGTAATGCATCCGGGGATCGAACCCGGGCCTTCAGGGTGATAGGCAGACGCCTTACCACTGCACTAATGGGTTGTTGATAAAGGGATGTTTTGTAGACAACAAAACAGTTTGTCGTAAGGACATAAATTCAGAAACAATGTCTGATCATTACCTTTCAAATCAAGGACTACTTTCAATTCCATGGGGAAATAATGCTCTGGTATTATGAGAACACATTATTAATGAAGCCGTTTTCCACTGGGGTGTATAACAGAATCTAATTGCTCTGACGTAAAAATCAATAATGGATACAATATATATCAGGTACCTACTAAAGCAATATCACCTGCACTGAGAACGGAGCAGCGTGACAGTCTGTCATAGGTACTGTTGTATCTGTTTCTGGGGAAGGATACACCACGTGGAGATGAAGGAAGAGAGTAAAGCTTCATTTGACGTTGCTTTGTCTACAGTTGGTGGCCAATTCGGTTGTACCATTGAAGGACCATTCGGAGCAATAGAACAGCATGAAACCTTAAAGGTAAATAGAAGATTTAAATCTGTGTGACATCAGAAACATCTTACTTTGGAACACATGACAGGTTCGTTGTCCGAGTGGTTAATATGCCCGGCATCTCCATGTCTGTCAAAAATAATGAACATAATTGCTAATTCCGGGTGTACTTCTGATGTAACATTAGGGGTGGGTATTCCAGAGAATTCCCATGCCATCTATTGCGATGCAAAAGCATATATTGTGATATGTATTGCAATGTATTGCAAGAAGTTGTTTTAACCAAAAACTTCTTATAATCGAGTTAATGCTTGATATATAAGCAAAATCACAACAAAATCACTATGCTTGATTAAGCTTAAATAAAAAGTTTTAATTATGAAAGAATAAATATGTAAATAATATTGGTACAAGATGAAAAAGGAAATATCCGAAGATTTCCGAGAGTTACGCAGTTTTCCGAATGCATGTCAAAATACCGGTTTTCAATCAGCGTATCGCAATACGTGTCGTTTTCATGTCTGAACCGGTAAATACCGGCAAATCGGTTATATTGCGCAGCCCTATGTAACATGCAGGTACTGGCTAACTAAAACGCTTTCTGTCTCGTTGTTTTAACTAATGTGGTAAACGTCTAAGATGTGCATCACTTCAAAGGAAATATGAAAGTATGACTTTTCTCATACAACAGATTGACACGCAGAATATAACTGAAATGCCTTTCAAAGCATCGTATATCACACTCACTCTGATTTTCTGTCTGTCAGAATGATTTGTGCTTAATATACTATGCGTAAATGTCAATTGTTTGTTTCTCGTGTTTTGTGTTTATATCTCAGTTTGTTATCATTTAAAACATTTTGCTTTGTCAGAAAGTTAATACAGTCAGCAGTATCGTTATTATTTTTCTCCTTTACAAAACCTTACTCTACCCAAATTGCTACAGCGGTCACTTGCACTTGTGTCCATTCACCAAAATGAAATTGTAGTTATGGTAAGGTAGATATGGTTTCGTCTTGAAATAGCACACACACACACACACACACACACACACACACACACACACACACACACACACACACACACACACACACACACACACACACACACACACACACACACACACACACACACACACACACACACACACACACACACACGTGTTCCTACGCCCCCGCTTCGTACTGCATCATGTATTCAGGCCAAACTGGAACACAGCTTGCCATTGCTGCAGTGACAAGGCTTCATGCAGCATGGTTGTACAACCCTACCAACCCTCTGGACAGAGACCCAATACCGATGGTCTCTGCTTCAGATCACACACTGACATAAGAAACTTTAGAATGCAACGTACTGATTGTAGAAATAAATGTAAAGTGATACACTATGTATGCAGGATGATTAAACATTTCACATACGCCACGCCACGCCACGCCACGCCACGCCACGCCACGCCACGCACTTTCTTAGTATAGGATATTTATATAGCGCACATATCCACGCAACTGCTACATGCTCAAGGCGCTGCTATTTTCTCTCCCTCGATCATTGGATGTCAATCTCAACGGCCCATCGTATTATCAATCACAACTCCCTGGGGAGCATACAACTCTTGCAGCCACTAGGCGCACCAAGTTATTACCGCTTTCCCATCCGTACGAGGTACTCAGTCACAGCTGGGTGGACTGGGACACATAGTCACTGTACTTTGTCCATGGTTACTGCTATACCCGCAACTAGGTGTTTGTACGTATTCATGTGGCCACCATCTGGTCATTTACTAACGGATTCGTGGGTTCTTTAAGTGCACAGGTTGTGTACTGTACACTGGGGGTTGTGACAACACTGACACAGTCTGCACACAAAGTTGCCTGCAAGTTTTTACACCCGGTCACAGGTGGGCTCGATATCGGCACCTGAAGCTCGCTAGTTCACTAGCCTGGCACCTTAGACAGCTCGCCCACCACTCCCCACCACATACAGAGTCGTGCAAAAAGTATTCGGACAGTTGACGTAATTTCCATAGGCTTACATGTTAATTTAGTGTAGCATAAATGATGTTCATGAATTCAATTTTTAGTAGGATCCAAGTCAAATTTTGCACATTTGTGAGGAATCATCTTACCTACAATGACATAATTTCTGTTTAATTTTCCATTGCTTATTTATCGAATGGCAACAATTTAATCAACATATGTACAGTGCCGTGAACTCCTTTAACATGACTGACTATGGGATTGTCCATTGTGAAACCATACGTAAGTTGATAAATGTGATGCCATTAGTTAAATAGTGGTCGGAAATTTGAACTGAACTTATGTGCACAGAGCAGAGATGATTTCAAATTTGCCTGTCAAATTTTACAAAGATCCATCCTAAACTCACTTCATGAAAATGATTTATGCTACACTGAAATAACAAGTACGTCTATGGAAATTATGTCAAGTGTCCGAATACTTTTTTGCACGACTCTGTACGCCACGCCACGCCACGCCACGCCACGCCACGCCACGCCACGCCACGCCACGCCGCATCAAACACACCCGGAAACAGACAACCGCATACCGCAACATACGAACACACCTACACGCACGCATGAACATGCGCACGTACACTCGTATACCTACCCACAGGTGAAGAATTGGTCTTCAGCATCCAAAGCCTGTTGTGACTGACGGTATTGACTGGTCAGATTCGCTGATTTAGTTGTTTGTAAAACCTACGCTATTAAACACAGTGATACTTAAGTTAGGTAACAGACAAATCAGCAGTGATTATTTTTAGTTTCGTATCACCGGGCTGTGCTTGTAACTACTCATACATGTCATCACGTCGATGTATGACGTAAACCATCGGAATGTCAAGTCCAGACACGATCGTCACGCTGAAGACCCTGGTTCGAATCCCCACATGGGTACAATGAGTGAAGCCCATTTCTGGTGTCCCCCGCCGTGATATTGCTGGAATATTGCTAAAAGCGGCGTAAAACTAAACTCAGTCAGTCAGTCCAGACACGATTATTTACAACCTTAGTATAGTTGGAAAATTGCCGAGTTTGGCGATAAACAAACAAACAAACCAACCAACAAACAAACAAACAATGTTGTCCCTTATTGATTTAAACTTCTTTGTTTATTCAGTGAAGATGCCAGTACTATTAATCAAGCGCTATCACCTGTACCTAAACTCCGCATTAAAAGCATTAAGAATTTGAAAATAATATGTCCACCGCATCTTCTTATTGATACATATTGATTGTGCTGTCCTAATGCTAAGTAAATATAACATATGCCCTTGAGCCCGTTCATGTTCACAGAACCCAGATGAAAGTACAGTCACCCCTGCTCCGGATGGAGGCAGGGGCTGGATAATCTTACTGGCGGCCTGTCTCCTCCTGTCCGCAACATCTATCTACAGAACACTTCAGCCAGCTTCAATATCAGTTCCGCAACGTCCTGAAACAACCACACAGACAGCCACGACTTCCACTGTCAACGGGAACTTGGGACTGCAGCCAACACCGGCCCCTCCCCATGGATCTCCGGGGACAGCAGGTAAATGTGTGCCACAAAACTCTCGAATACTTCGTGGTGCGAGTTTGACTAATTCAATAGGTAAATTGCAATGAAATAGAGAGATACCAGGTCTGCGAGACCAACCACAGGTACTGGTCCTTTGTTCAACGGAATGAAGGAATGAGTTTGGTTTTACGCCCCATTTAGCAATATTCCAGCAATATCGCGGCAGGGGACACCAGAAATGGGCCCATATGGGGAATCGAACCCTGGTCTTCGGAGTGACGAGCGAACGCTTTAACAACTAGGCAACCAAACCGCCCCTTGTTCAACAGAAAAAAAAATCAAGGGGACAAATTGTACAAGTCGAAATAGGGAATAGCATCGGACATAACGTTTGTCATGGATGCCTCAAATTCTGAAATGTCATCCATATGCCAAACAGTTCGTACATTCAGATGTATTCCTATGATCAATACAGTCAAGGCATCATTCTGTAGTGTTCTTCATAAAACACATTCCAGTAAACTTTTGGGTGGAGTCCCATCCGTGATTCGAACAAACACTTTCAGAGCGAGGCACCAAGTCGCCAGCACACAATGTCCAATAACTGATAATCTTGATGACGTACTTTGTGTACCATTCTGATAAATATGAATTGACAGAGCTCAACTGGCCGAAAGCTATGATAAGACAATCATTTTTAAAATTGGTCTTCACAAATCAGTTGAAGTTAGGCAACGTTGGGTGCGAACCGGAATTCAAACTGAATGATTTCAAATTTCTTGCATTCTTAAAATGCTTCTTTAAAAATATTAGCTATACCTTCACCAAGGAAATGGTAATGTTATTGGCCAGAACATTTATGATACGGAAACTGTTCCAACGGAAGTCTTCTGAAATCAGTAAGGTTAAAGTGTGAGTTCTGGAAGTATCAAAATGTTTCGTCTTTCAGCGTCACCATCAACAGGACAATCACAGGGCGGGGGATTGATATCCAGTGTTGACCGGTTACTGATGGCGATAGATCTGAATCGGTTATTGAACATGTTCAATGCTGGAGATCACAGTGTTGTTCAAAACATCACATCGATCCTGTTTGCACTGAACCACAGCAGCCAGGCAGAGAAGTTTCTTGAGGGATATAGGAAACTCCAGGCCCAAACCAACCCTGTTGTAACAACTGTCGTTGCCACTAACGGCGTCTGCTCTTCAGTATTTGGTAACTATCAAGAAACACCTCCAATGCTATAGAACCTCACAATGAGATGTTACCCACAGGTTTTCTTCTGGTACCAGAGCTGTTACTAGAACCTATTACTCTTTACATTATTACTCAGACGTTCAGGAAAACATGTCACTGTAAAACTGTAAAACAATTGATACACTATCGTGAAATGAGCTGTATTATTCAGTAGACTCGACGAACGGATTCTCACTGAAAAATATTTCTTGCAGGGTTGGTTCCTAGTATGGTGATCTACCTGCAGATGCTTACGATCTATAGCTCGTGTTTTATATTGTATTGTCTGCTTTAATTACACTGTTTTAGTTTTACATGCTAGTTTTATGTTCATATGTGTGATACTCTAGTATTTTTACTATCCATCGTCGGCAGGTTTAACTCTTCACAATGTTTTCATTTTTGTATTATATATATTGTTTTCGTCACGATATGGCTGCGATATTGCCAATGTGACGTTAAATATTAACTCACTTGCAAGGGCAAAATGACAACAATGGCCGTGTTACCAACACGGTTCCTGATAGAAATGTTCTCTTGCAGGTGTATTTAGCAGTACACTGGTATTGCTGTTTGGATATCGCTGCACGGCATTGGCGGGAAGTCTGGTTGTTGGGCTTGGGATATTGGGCGCTTACTTCTGTGATCACTCTAATATCGTCCTTGTTTCGTTCCTGTACGGTGTTCTGACAGGTATGTGCCCTTACATGCTGTAAACTGTAGAAATGTCCATTCCCATATACAACCATCGTCAATACTTGTATTATCTTCCTCCACCATCCCTGAATATATATTGCTGAGTGCGGCGTAAAACTAAACACACTCACTCTGAATATAAAGAGACCGTGTGCGGTGTTGTCCCAATTTGTAGTCATGACTCAAACTAAGGCATGGTTCCAGCGAAAGGGAAACCACAAAGTGTGTCAACCTCGTAAACGTGGATCAAAGGCTTGAAGTCATCTGGACCCGGAAGATAAGGGTTAGACTTGATCTTCCTTAACCCACGCTCGCTGACTTGGTTGTCACATGTCATCGTATCCCAATTGCATAGATCGATGCTCATGATGTTGATCACTGGATTGTCTGTTCCAGACTCTATATAGCTGTAATATTGCTGAGTGCGTTGTAAAACTAAATTCACTCACTCACTGAAGTCATCTGTGGTCTCCACACTTTGCTAGAATACATGGCAACAGTACTGTTCGACGAAATGCATCTCTGGAATAGGGGTCATTTCACTTTAGTCTGTTATTTACGGTCCCATTTCAGAACTTGAAATTACAGTGCAAAAAGGGACAAAACTCAGAAACCTCTGAGTCGAATGCCCGATGTCGGCTCTATCATGAGCATGTGTTTAGGACTCACTTTCAAATATTACGATACCGGGTATTCGTGAAAAGGTGCATCCTTCCCCACTGGGGTGGTACAGGGTCATAAACACATGCAAAGGCTGGTCAAGCATTGTTCACCTGCAAACGAAATGTATGACACAAAAGAAATAGGGAGTTGTATTTGTGTCTCTGATTCACACATCACATATCTGTATCAAGGTTGGTCGAGGCACGTAGTGTCTACAAATCGAATAGAATAACTGACAGTGGTATTTAATGAACCAGTCGGCGTGAGTCGGGTATATAACACTGGACCTTGTATCACATTTCCATTCATAACCATTGGATGTAAAAGTGGCCCTATCCAATATAAACAAACAGCGAAAACACGGTTGATTCTCAAACTTGGAAAACAAACAGTATTTGTAACCCCGATCATTTGTAACCCCAATCATTTGTATGCCAGTTCAGGTGTCTGTGGTAACTCGGATATGATTTAGTCACTTTCAGCCATAGGAACTTTATATAATGTAAAATTCATGACCATATGCACCAATATGGCACTGTTTAATATCCATTTCTGGCGGTCACTCCACTGTTTTCCATGGTATACATCTCTTTTACTGTTCCTTTATAATGCGAGCTTTCACTAGGATCATAAAAACGACAAAACGAATTCCTAATCTCTGCAAAAGCAGAGTCGATTGTGCAATTCCGAAAATGCGTGTCATGGAATAATTATTCAATGGTGATACGACTAAGCGTTCGCGAAAAGATGGGCGCATCCTGCCTCGCCGGTGTCACAAACACATGCAAAGGGGAGTCAATCGTCCACTGACGAAACTATAGCCCAACATATGTTAAAAGCTGATATATTTAATATAGTAATAGAGTAATTCTTGTTGAAGATGCCTAACAAGTCACCATACTTGTGAACTGAATATCTGATTCATTGTCCTTTTTTGTAACAGGCATTGGGCAGAACATGATATACGTCTCCAGTTTGTCGGCCGTTATGGAGTATTTCAAACGAAAAAGGTTAATTGCACTAACATTGCTATCTATAGGGAATTTGCTGGTTATTGTCCCGTTTGTGCTTCTGATGGTGCTGGTCTTCCCGTCCGCGGGTATGGTCAACAGCAGATCGTATTTCATCCTGCAGTTTGCAGTCACTGGCTTACTAATACCAGTCAGTCTGATGCTGAAACCACTACATCTGAGGATTAAAGGCCCTGCTGGGGGAAGTCTGATTTCAAGGCAGCTGGGAATTCAAGGACTGACGATCTACAAGAAACCAGTTCTTTATACAGTCACACTAACGTTCTTCTTCTGGGATGGAGGTAACAATCTGAATGCAGAAATGAGTGAAAAGTATGTAGAATTATACCGTCTGTATAGCATTTCGGGCTGTCTCCTCAAACACAGGAGTAAGTCAGTGGGTCCATAATACTTTATTCGGTGGCATAAAATACAGTAACGACTAGGGATTATCCCGGAGACGATCGTCAGTTCCATTGCCTTGCCTTTTTCCAAGGGTCATGTCTCCATTAACTCAAAGCAAAAGCATTCTACAGCGTACTGCGGTACATGTAAGGCCTGTCTGCAGTATCCAACACCTCATCCACAATGTTAACCTTCCGTTGCCAACCGGTAGCACGCTTAAGTTCATTTCACGCTGATGGCCATTATGATGATAGTCTAGCTACTGTTATTTCGTTTGGCAGCACTGTGAAGATTATATGTGCAACTTTTACTTCACTCGGTGAATATATAAACATACATAATCTCCCTTCCAAAACCCATTGCCCGCCAAAGTGCCTTCCATAAAAGGTATGAGTTTTGTATGTTCATATTTGAATTGAAACCCGATCCCTCTGCAGAACAAGAGGACCCTTATAAGAGGCTGCTCCACGCCCTCATTTGTTTATTAAAAAATGAAACATGTTCAGACTAGATTCAGAAATGTGTAGCTGCTGTTAGTTTGAATGTGTACAAAAAGTGAGTGAGTTTGGGTTACAACGCTATGCACAGAAAGTAAGTTATGTCCAGAAGAGTGAGTAGTCCGTAGTACTATTAATATGATTTGAACACATCCAAATTAGACCATTGAACTACCCTTGTCTCTCTCCAACACCCCACCCCCAATATAATCTAAAGGGACCGTATATCATGTGTTCATGAAACAAGTTAATTATTACTGGAAGCAGAGTTCGATTAATTACATACATGAAAATGTAGGTTATGTCATGTCTCAATATAGAACAAACTTTATGGATAACAACTTCTTTTTATTCGTGAGTGCGACGTTTCGATACAGATTCTTGTACCGTAGTCAAGCATAATGAACTACGAATTCGTATGTCATGTCTCTTCTTTAAGTACCATTTAGAAGCTGATATGTTGATGAGGAACAAGTTTTATCGATTCCTAATTGCTATGCATGCGACGTTTTGGTGTAGATGCTTATCACTTGCTTGATAACGGTGTTAGCATCTACACCGAAACGTTGAAGCAATTGCAATAAAGAGGTTGTCAATCCATAAACAATGTTCCTCTTTATATTATGTCTTGTCAGAATATTTTGTCCATGGTTGCCAGGTTTCGAAATCATCAACAAGAAGGTGCCTGGCTTTAAAGGGCTAATCTCCATCCCGAATATGGCCGATGGACTCCTATTGACCCTTATTCTGAGCGTCGCCGTGCTGTTGGGCGTCTGTATTGCATTCTGTACCGGCAGGTTCATCCAACAGAGGGCCACCGTCATCATCTTCTGTGTAAACTGCGTCAGCATTTGTTTCTTCTGTTTCCTTGCAAGTCAGTTGAGCAAGGAGACCTATGCTACTGTGTATTCCGCTGTGGTCGGTCTGTTGAAGGGTGAGAATACATGCCTGTATGTGTTAACCCACGCGTAGTATATTTGGAGACAAGGATCATGCGGGTATGGTGTTAATTAATGAGGTAGTAGTCATGGGATTTTGGACAAGCGCTGACAAGTTTCCATCCATGGGAGTATTGCATGCTGCATTTTTAACAACGTTGGAAGAGATTGCAACATCTTAAAATTGCCTAAATATATGTTAACACATGTGATATTAATTAAGAAAATCGTACAATAATTTCATATTCATACTTCATATTCGACTTCGTACACTATTCATGGTTTAATGACACACTGCTATAGTATTTATACAATCACATAATGATAAAACCCGTGAATGTCCGGGTTAGAATGAGTGAGTGAGTGAGTGAGTTTAGTTTTCAAAGCATAATCGCCTTTTGTGGCAAGCATGGGTTGCTGAAGACCTATTCTACCCCGGATCTTCACGGGTCCGGGTTAGAAAGAACCTTCAGTAACCCATGCTTGTCGTAAGATGCGACTAACGGGATCGTGTGGTCAGGCTCGCTGGCTTGGTTGACACATGTCATCGGTTCCCAATTGCGCAGATCGATGCTCATTATGTTGATCACTGGATTGTCTGGTCCAGATTCGATTATTTACAGACCGCCACCATATAGCTGGAATATAACTCACTCACTCACTCATAATGATAAAAGCTACAAAACCCTTTCCACACCCATAAGAAATGAGTCGATAACAAACAGCATTTCACAATTGACAACTACGAAATCTCTCTTTTTTTATAGGGTTTACAGATCCGATAATTCTGTTTACCATCCCAATGTTTGTTGGAGACAACAACATGAGCATTGGTATCGGCATGGTAACACTGGGACAAGGCCTTGGCAAATTCCTCCTCCCTTATCTGGCAGGTGGGTGTAATATAAGGCAACTGTATTATTCTAAAATACCTGCAAATGTTTATTGTTTATAAACGTCATCCATTCTTTGCTAACACGCATCTTCATATACAGAGGGGAAGCCAGCTTTGGTTCGATGCTTGATGGTCACCCGACCCCACGAATAGTTAATGCCTGGGTCGATGACATAACAACACCTACCGTCTATACATTTCCGCCCGAAAATCAACTTAGCTGATTTCTATAAACCCTTATATAACCTACATCGATCCTATTTTACTCTGTTAGGAGTTGTCACCAGATACATCCGTTATTTCCACAAAGTTCCATGGTCGACGGCAATACTGGGAATACGATGCACAATAGAATGGCAGATTATATTCTATCAAACCTCCGCAGAGGATTTTCAGCATCTAGAAAATACATGATTCAGTCGAAAGCCGGTTTGAAAAAAACTCTGGAAAGCACAAGTATATGTGACAACGGAGACATTCACTCACTCACACTCATTCTCACACACTCACACTTTATTTAATGTAAACATTAAATTTGTAAAATTGTTTATCAGATGAGATCGAAGGAAGAACCAAGAAACTGGACCTGTCCTTCTACCTAGTGGGTGGTCTGTATCTGATGGGTTGTGGGTCTATGCTTCTGACCTACGGCTTACACAAACGGGCAAAGATTGAAGATGTATCTCCTAAGAAGTCTGACGGGAAGGCCGCAGAGCCATCAACGACCATCTCTGCCGTGAAGGTCGAAGGTCCTACAACCTAAATGTACACTAGAGACAATGATAGAGACGTGTTATGAGCCTTGTCCAACAATGATCATATAGCTGATTTGACTTTACAAGTGGACACTAAACTTCGAACATTGAAACAATGGGGTAAAGAGGACATATAAGACGTGAAGAAACAATATTTCCCTGAACTGATGGTTTATTTTGCCGATGTATAACGTCATGCGTTTGTGTCAAATTGTATTGGTATGTTTTGACAAGTCGATGACAATAATACAGTAAAACATTATGGTTTCCAAGATGAGTTACAAGTAAAGTCAAGTCTAAAGGAGGAGAAGAAGAGTGATTTGGTAATGACACAGATGGGGTGCATGCTCAATTATCATCACAGGTTTCTATTCGCGACCTTATAATGGGTGTGTGTGTATTATCATCATTATTATTATTATTAATAATGATCATACCCCACGAGTCTCATGAAGACTATCCTTAGTTGTTTCATAGACGAACACAATAGTATGTTCCCTTCGTGGTTGGAACTTCTGCAAAAATATATATATAGTTATTGTGACACGTTATGTTTTCATTGGTAATTTTGTAAATAAATTTTTAGATTTGAACGAGAAAAATTATTCATGGCAGAAGAAGATAACCAGGCAGTCGTTCATAAATTGCACGAAATTTGCAAGAACCATGACATATTCGAACAAATTGGCCAGCAATGTTCAGTTCAAAAGGCCAGACAATCTGACGCATAGCATTTACACCAAGTGCAGTTTTAAGGACTGCAGAAACACACTCTGTTAATGGAATGACTTTATTGCATTTGAGGGGCCACAGGTCCATTATACAGTGCTTTGTACAATAGATACAAATGCTGATGGAGCACCGCACAGTCGGCGGGTGGTGTCATAATCATGGTTGAGATGGTGACGATTTACGTTTTATCATTGCAAGAAATACATACTTCCCTTGACATTCAATGATGAATACATTATCTGATGCTAAACGATTAATCGTTCTAAAACAGGTTTTACCTATCACGTCTCAGAGTAAAAGAGGGGCAAGTGGTTAAAGCTTTCGCTCGCCACGCCGAAGACCCGGGTTCGATTCCCCACATGGGTATAATGGGTAGAGCCCATTTCTGGTGACCCCTGCCGTGATATTTCTGGAATATTGCTAAAAGCGGCGTAAAACTAAACTCACTCACAGATGTGGAGGGCATTTCCAGATCTGACGCATCGTTATTTGACAGTGATTCATACACACATGTTCTAGACAAAATCGTGCAATATACTCTCCTCTTGCCCGATGTGGAAAACGTTTTGTCGCTTTTATTCAGATTCAGTGTAAACAAATCTGTGTGGCGTCTTTCTAAATTCGAAAGGGTCTTGTTTGAAACTCTCTGCTTTATTGTCAGTCCTAATTGTGCTAAGGAAATTGAGCTGTTGTATTTTACAATTACATAGTTCAATTACTTGGCCATGTGCAATATTGTACTCTATTTTCGTAATAGAGTTGCACTCTAAAGCACGGCGAGTTTCCTATGTAGCAGATTTAATGGCAAATTTTCAGGTTTTAGTTAATGAATCTAAACACAGTCAATAAGCTCAGTGTTAATGCATGGAATGTAATATCTATAATTTAGCTTGACCTTTTCAATGCTGTGTGTAGATAGGGAGCAGTCGTTGCATTACTGTGTCAGGTATTATTACTGTTGTGTTGCAATTTCGCTATATAGCCTAAGGGACATTCACACATGTTTCATGACATAAGTGATGGATAGAACTAAGTGACATTGTATCATTCTGTGATTTTCAGAACATGGAAAGTAAAGATCCTTGTTGCAAGAATCTCGGCTTGTTGTAATATGGCTCTTTCAGTATAATCCCTACCAGGTCCTATTGTCCAATTATGTGTTTCCGTAGGGCCTGTCAGGCGTGGTCATAATTTTATATATCTACCGCTTTGGTTTTCAGATGTGTATCGGGCGTGACTGCCTATTTCCGAAAAAAACGCTTATATGTACATATGGATTTCTTGAATATTATGATGTATATTACTAAAAGATGTTGTGCCACAGTATTAAAGGGGAAGTGTTCTCAGAAAATCGCTTTTTTCTCTTTTGAGAAACTAAAAGGGATCTTAAAATTAGTTCATATCAGTGTTTACCTTCTCACAGTGAAAGTAGAGCACTCTATAAAAATGTTGAGATGTTTTGAGTCCTCTGTTTTTTTCAAATCACAACGGGTCAGGGTTACACACCTGCTGAATGTACCAAATCCCTGCTAATGTTTCCCTTATAAAACTCGCGATACTACCCTTGCTATGCATATTCTGAAAATGATAAACACGTTTTTTGCAACGAGTAGCCGAACAGATCTATCGCAAAAATGAGAATATCTGAACTTTGTTTTATTCACATTTCAAACAAATGAGGTGTTTTCTGAGCACGGCGTTCGTTCTTTTAGGGCCATCGGCGATTTCAGAATGATCACTGGTGATTCCTTTGAATGAATGAATGAATATTTCAAATATTTCTTGGACATCACAGTGAGGACTGAATAGGAGGAACAAGTATTTTTCGATTAATGAAGAACATTAGTAAACTTAGAACACTGGCAAATTCGTGTTCGTTTTGGATTTTTCAACACGATTTGCTCGATAGACAAGTAACTCAAGTTCAATGTAAAACAATTCGGTTGTACTGTAAACAGAAATAAGAATGTTGTATCAATGTGTACATTTTTGAAACCGCGATGTTATGTCACATTACGGAGTGAGTGAGTTTAGTATTACGCCGCACTCAGCAATATTCCAGTTATATGGCAGCGTTCTGTAAACAATCGAGTCTGGACCAGACAATCCAGTGATCAACAGTGAGTGAGTGAGTTTAGTTTTACGCGGCTTTAGCAATATTCCGGCAACATCACGGCAAGGGACACCAGCAATAGGCTTCACACATTGTACCCATGTGGGGTATCGAACCCGGGTCTTCGGCGTGACGAGCGAACGCTCTAACCACTAGGCCACCCCCAGTGAATAACAGCATGGGCAAGCAATTGGGATACGATAACTTGTGTCAACCAAGTCAGCGACCTTGACCACCCGATCCCGTTTGTCGCTTCTTACGACTAGCTTGGGTTACTGAAGATCAATTCTAACCCGGATCTTCACAGGTTTCACAATGCGGAACAAAGCAGTACACGAATTCATCTGGCCCCAAGGCACCGTAGGGGGTACAACAGTAGGCTGTGCAGCGAGATGCAAGAACCACACACCTGTACACCACGTGAAAGGGGTCAAATAAGGTTAAAGATGTGGTTAGTTTATCGATTCGCACTAGTGACGTCATAAGGCAAGGGACATAAGCAACGGTGTGTTTATTATGGAAATAAAAGTCTCGGTAAATGTGCAAATAAAACAATAATCTAAAATAACAAACTTGTAATGTGTGGCATCTTTACTGTTTTGGCTATGAAACTACCAGATAAATACTATTTTTGTTTAAAAACGGCAAGACGGTGTAAACTTGCCCTTTAACGACTTTTACCCACACATCATTACTTTCTGTAATGTTCAGCCAAGGTGAGATCCGGGGTAGAATAGGTCTTCAGCAACCCATGGTCAGGCTCGCTGACTTGGTTGACACATGCCATCAGTTCCCAAATGCGCAGATCGATGTTCATGCTGTTGATCAGCGGATTGTCTGGTCCAGACTCGATTATGTACAGACCGCCGCCATATAGCTGGAATATTGCTGAGTGCGGCGTAAAACTAAATTCACTCACTCACTCAGCCAAGATGAAGCAACTCTGACAAATGGTATGTACACGTCAGTAAGTCTGTCAGCAAGAAGGTCGGCCTTCAAGGATAGAATCCTAGCGTGATGATTCGGTAGCGACGTCTACGGACGGGATCTCTCTGCTATCCTTGGATCTGCTGAATTTTAACTTCAGTAGCTGACTGTTCTTTTTGCAGCATTCGCCAACCTCAAACACATTTGTCTTTATGGCATACTTGTTGATTTTGTTGTGCCAACCTTCCAAATTATTGTTAGTTCTGTGTCCATCATTTTCAAAATGATTCCAAGTTGGCAGAGTCCATGGACCTTATATCCTGGGGGTAGTAATATAATCCAAATGTATCCAAATAAATGTTTTCAGCAGCATTTCGATAATCCTTCTACTCTCATTATCACAAAATAATTTGTAAGCTTTCTCTATCTTTCCGGTATTTTTTGCATGTTAAACTCCAAAATGGTAATCCTTCCACCCGCATAACGTAAAATAATAGTCTGTTTGCAACTTTAATTCTCTTACAATCTAAAAGACACTCTCTTTAATTAACTTAATTCATTTACTCATGATACGAGCATAGCCACCATAGCCACTTGCAAATCACTAAGCAAACATTCTCTTTCATTAATTAACACCGTCATGGTATGTTGACCACGCGATGTCGACACTCCGGGTTTTTTATTCTGTCGACGGTTAGCAACATTCTATTTTTCATTTGTGGACAGATCGGGCTGATACCGAAATACCTAGCATTCTCGTATTTAGATCCACGCGAAAATTAGCCCATGGGCTAAAATACGGGATTTTTTCCGTATTTAAGGGCTTAATTATGGATTTAATTCTTGGGTGTTTAGAGTGACGCCCCTTTCCAAACGCATGGCGAACCTCGTTTTAAACTTTAGTAGTGAACAGAACATTTTGGACACCGGTTACAGGGCAGTTATTAGAGACAGAAATTGATCATCTTATCCCCTATGATGTGGATGCAGTTGCAGTTATATTGAACCATGTGGTCATTCAATTTTGAATTTATAAACCAGTTTCCTGATAAAAGAGTTTTAAAAAAACCCGATTCTTTTTATTTTATCAATATTTTTAAACGTGCCATTATAAAGATTTTCTTAAAAGAAACACCTTTAAGTTCACATATATTTCATTGCAAAAAGATTGAAAAGAATAGGCAAATAATTCGTCTTGAAAGCACTTGTACGTATATATTCAGTGTTAAAACGATTGTTACGATTGTTTATATTTGTATGATGAATACATGACTGAACTTGTTTTGAAAGATGTGCAATTGTTCTGAATCATACTATAAGTTTACTGCCTCAGTGTGTTTTACATCGAGACTGCCAATTACTGTGACATTAAAACCGCCTGAGAAATTTTACTTGACCAGTCACTTCATTTAAACTTCTTTTCACAATAAGGTGAAAATGTTTCACCCAATCTTTGCGCACATACCATCAATTGGTAACTAAAGGCTGAGAAGATTCACCGGTGTATCAATAACACATTAAACCATATTTTTACACGATACATAAAGACATGTGTTGCTCATATTATCTTCATTTTATCACATTAGAATAATTCAGATGGTACTTATCTATAGCCAAATCATTCCAAGTAAACCATCTGTTCATATGGATATGTTAAACTTGCAAACTCCACATGATCTATGAAGTCAAACGAGTCTTTTTTTTCATTATGGCAAATAAACCAGAAAAGAAACGAAAGGGCCTCATGGCGTTCTTGGAACGGCATTTTCTTGTTCGCCCACTGCACAGGCAGTTGCAATACTGGAGTGCCTCACGTTATGAATTACACACACACACACACACACACACATACACACACACACACACACACTCTCTCTCTCTCTCCCTCCCTCTCTCTCTATTTATCTATCTATATATCTGTGTGTATATGTAGTTACACACACATAATCTGTTTGATTAGGATTAATGAATAATGAGAAAGGTATGTTACTGTATGGATACCAACTTCTTTAATATATCATGATGCGACGTTTCGCAACAATATATTAAAGAGGTTGTTATATCACATTAAGTACATATACAAATACACAGTTGATTCACAATCGATTGGTTCGTAGTGTTAACAATCGTGGTTTTAGCGTTCCGTGCTGGGATGGGTTATGTCTGATACCACTACAATATAACGGAAAGCTTTTGTAATGGAAATTGGTGTCCTCTTGTCAAGAATTCATGCGCAGAAATATGTCAAAAGTCTTTTGAACGGACAAATCATGAAATATTCGAAAAGCAGTTGGACAGGGAAACAAGCGACACAGGAAAATGTTCTGGAGTCTTTTTCATAAATATTTCAGGGGATCTAACTGTTGTTAATATTTCCTCTCAGGATAGAAGAAGACCAGCAATTGTGTGGAGACCATTCTTACTCTGGATACTCGGCCTATTTTGGAAACTTGACCATTGTTGCAGTAAGGTGAATATTACCATATCCGTGATTTTTACCATAATCACTGCTTGTATATTATAAAGCCTTTGGATTTCTACTGCCACTGTACTTTACTGTTGTACTGCCACAGTGAATTCGTCGCCGTGATATATATTATGTTGCATACCTGTAGTTACGTTAAATTTGAATAGTTAATAATATTCCATCTCATAGCTGTTTATTGGTTTCATTTCGAGTTCTGATATGTATGGGCGCGTCCGGGATCGAAATTTCATACATAAATATATATTACTATACTCATGCCAAAAATGGTTGTCAATTGGTTGGAATTGAATGTCCATCGGACATTGGCTGTCCTGAATTAGTTCCTGACAAATGACAAAGTCCCGCACCGTCATTCAACAGATTCATAATCTCCTTTGGTGTTTTGTATGTATATTCTTCAACAGTATCTGTACACACTGATTTGTTGTTATCCCTGTTGAAAAAATACCGACCGCGATATTTTTCATTATTTAATTAACTGACGAACGTGCCATGGGCGACCAAGGTCACCTTCTTCAGATCAATCCTATGAATTAACAGCTTGGTGTTCGTACAGGAATTGAAAACCCTTGACAGTTCCTAAAATCTGAAATATCTGAAATGAAAACCGTTGATAGTTCCTTACATCTGAAATATTAAAGACTATTCAGTATAGTCTGTTCTAAGTCTCACTGGCAATATGTTAATTTATACGCCCTGTGTGTGAGAAATGCCAACACTCTGTGTGTGAGAAATGCCAACACTCTGTGTGTGAGAAATGCCAACACTGTGATTGAAACAGTATTATCCTAGCAAGACACGTGATGACGTGATGACGGATCTCGCTATCTGTATTGCCCCCTGAAAATCTACCGAACTGTTTGACATCGGGATCTCGTGTATCAGCCACGTGCCTGGGCGACAGCCTCCATCCTTCTCACCTGCAGTTGCCGAGAGACTTTCAATAGCATTATTCCGCAGTAACTCTTCCACAGACCGAATGATGTTGCCTAGGGTTGTCCTCCATGAATATGGGGCGGGTAACCAATGGGCGATAATCACAGTGAGGCACAATACAGACAGGCAGTGGGCCATTTTGCAGTCAAAATACATATAAAAATCGGTAATTAATCTGAAAACCTTTATACGCTTAACCAAACTCCACTGCTTATACAATATAACAGTGAGTAGCCTTTACTATTATCAATCTTATTGCTTTGTTGTGGTAATGTTCATCCTAATCTTGAACAACTTAATCTACATTTAAGAATAGTCCACTTAAATATCCGAAGTCTTTAAGACAAAACCGATATATTGAAAACGGAATTCGGGTCATACGATAAAATATGTATTAGGAAATCATGGCAGCGGGCTGATATAGATGATAAAATTCTCCATATTTCGGGGTTCCAACCTCAATTTAGAAGGATTTGCAATATACGTGAAGGAAAATTTAATAGTACAGCATATACAACAATTAAACATTGTAGGACTGGAGGCTATATGGGTACAGGTAACATGTAAATCTTGTTCCTATCTGATTGGAACCATGTACAGGGCCGACAAAAGTGATGCATACGACATAGTGGATGGGATTAACAGTAGCATCAGACTTTTTGCTGATTATACGTCCATTTATGTTATCGTAGACGATCCATCTGAAGCAGCTAACTGCTTAAATGACGATCTAGAAAAGATATCCAACTGGGAAAATACGTGGCAAGTTACTTTTAATCCTTCAAAAACAGAAACAATGCATGTTTGATTGGCATTTTAGAAGATTTTTTCATCTTGTTTTATTGTTTGGTACAACGTTTCAGGGCTTGTTCTGGCCCCATCAGGTAAAACTAAAGAACAGTAACTGTTAACTCTGTCCGTGACGTCACAATGCTTATGGCGTCACAATGCTATGACGACGCAATACATGTGGAGGTCATGATGGAGGTCATAATGGATAGAGCTAACAGGGCTAATATGAATACATGTTATCATGAATATATAAAATAATATTCTTTACTGCAAAAATATTGGATTAACTTAGAAATGTACAGATACTTATTATTCAAAATTGCGTATTAATTTAGAAATGTACAGATACTTATTAATAAATGTATAGAATGTAAAGTAATTGCAGTGTATATATAGAAATTGTGGTTTAAACATGGGAACAGTGGGGCATTGTCTATTGTTTTATGAACCATGCATTCGGGAGGTACACATCCTGAGCCCTGTTTATTACTGGTTTTGTACGTTTGATGAAGATAGCTTCAATCAACTTGCGTTTCCGCCAGTCACTAATGTGTTTTGCAAGAACTTCCCAGTCAACTCATGTTTGGGATTATTCATAATGTGCTGAGAAACTGCACATTTCAGATCCAATTTGTCGACTGAAGTTGTGTCCTTTCACGCGTGTAGCTACTGGTCTGCCTGTCTCACCGATGTAGATGTCACCACAGTCACAATTTAGGTTATATACACAGCCTCTTGGGTTGGAGATAGCCTGATTGCACTCCTTACCATTTGAACGTAACAAGGTTTTAAGGGTTTTGAGAATATTGTGTCAATGCTGGCCATTTACTTCATAAGTCTGATGACTTGGTGGCTGATGGGCCCAACATACGGGATGCTGATGCGGATGGGAGATGGTTCAGGTTTCGGATGATGCTGAACTTGATCTACTTTGGTGAGATAGGCAGACCAGTAGCTACACGTGTGAAAGAACACAAAACTTCAGTGTTTAGTGTGGAGAAGTTTGTTACGAGTATATTAAATCTGGCATGCTAAAGCTGATGTTTAGAACATGTTGATCACATTCCAGGTTGAGGAAGAAAGATTTGAGGATAAAAGAATTAGAAATTCAAGCTGATAAAGAAATTAAACTGGGAAATTGATTTACAAAGTCATATCTCTTTCGCTACCTTTACGGTGAATGATAGTTTTATTTTGATAGATTAGACTCGTTCCACTCTTCTCTGGGCGTAATGTTCCAAAATAATTCTTACATTTTGTGAAAATGTGGCTCTAAATTTGTAATGGCCTGATAGTCAGTCGGCCATGCTATTGCAAAGTATATTAAGGCGGAGAGCTCAAGACGTTTTTTTATTCTGCCTTGCATACTGATAGGAGTTGATACACCTGAATTTGATAGTATTTTGTCATTTCTTGAGTCCTTAGCCAACGCCGTGGTTTTGTTAAAGAGTTTATGTGGTTTTACCATTCCATTTTGTGTTTATAGGAGGGGTTGTAGAAACTCTTCCTATCAAAGGTGTTGGCTTTATTATGTTCCTGCTCACACGGCTCATAAATAGAAATACCATGTGTTTTATATGTGTTACTACTCGTGCTAAGGCTAATGTCTTATGAGAAATATTCCGGTTATGATTTGGCTTTCATGGATCATTCTCTTGTCTAAATTCTGTGGGAGAGTACTAAAAACACTACCAATTTGGCTGTTGAGGAACCAATTCTGGGCAAGGACAGTTGGTTGAATTACAGGGAGAAGACTAAACGTTCTTGCCAATCGGGCACTCCCTTTAGAAGCAACTGACAATGTTCCAGTTCGCTATTATTCCAAGGATATCATTTTGATAAGGAAATGGAGGTTGTCAGATGTACCTGTTGATAATGAAATGAAGGTTTTCCATCAGATTGTTTTTCCAAATTTCTATCGAAAACATGTTTCTGAAATTTCTGGGAATGGTTGGTTACTGCCGTCAATTCTGTCGAAAGTTTTCACTTGGGGGTAGTCCATCTCGCTTATTTGCAAGGCAAAAGGGTGAATTTGTTTGGGACAGCAATTATCAGGCTGCTTTTGAGAACACTAACACCATTCTTACGAATTTTCCTGTTCCCCAAGCAAACAAATTTTGAAAACCCTTTTTCTTCAAATATATTACAGATCAGAGGGATATGTGAACTTTTGCTGATTTAGACAGAGTTCTTGAAGGCACCACACTGTGCTACAATCCTATATACATGTCCTTTCAATTCTATTAGATCCCGGGAGTTATTTTCTATAGGTATATATATGTGGAGATACCTCTTGCTTCTCATCTCGCATGATCTGACACGTCACTTCAGAGGCGTTCTATTGTATCCACTGGCGTCCTTACCGCAACTGATATCCCATCTGTATCGATCCTCCACCTTAAAAACGATCCTTTCCCAGAACACATGGCTAATGTAACATTTACCTGTACTCCGTGATCCGTGAAGTAACTTGTATGGGTTTTTTTTACAATAAGTATAGAGAATGAAATCCACTTTATTTTTGCATAGCTACCTCCGAAACCATCTCCTTGCAGAGGCACGTTCGCTTTTGTGCCTGTAGACACGTGTCCTGTCGTCAGCGCTGTGAAGAGTGTGAGTGTGGGGACACCAGCAATGGGCTTCACACATTGTACTCATGTGGGGAATCAAACCCGGGTCTCCGGCGTGACGAGCGAATGATTTAACCACTTGGCTACCCCACCGCCCCTACCGCGGTGAAGAAGTAAACGTGACTCAGTGGTAATGAGAACCCTCTCAGTTTGAGTGCTTCCCATTGAAACTGTTGTCTGCTTCACAGGAGATAATGACGTCGATGTTCTGGTTGTCTTGTTGTATTGCCTATTTAAGTGAACATTGCTGATCATTTTTGTAAATTTCGTTCAATTCAAACAACAACTGGTTAGTTGCCTGTCTGCGATAATTTCAGCACAGTGTTTCTCTGGTTCAAATCCGAACATTCAATTCACAATGGATAATGGAGAAATTCCATGTCAAAACTGATGTAATACCGCACGCAATATGTGCAAGTTGCTCTACCTATTGTTACTCTGCAACCTTTACAAAATAAGCATCTTCTTCTTGAAATAGCCAACAAAGTAGGAAGACAAACCGATCCCCTTTCGCCCAAGATGACCTGTGAAAGGTTCCCTGAGATGAGTGGACACGACGACAAGGACCAAGGTTCCCCATCACAGGAAACAGGGACACAGGTAGGTGTGTCTGATGTCAGCTATAAAAATCGGGTTCACGTTGTCAATTCCCATGTCAAGCCAAGATCGCTAATTTCGGGAATCACGAACTATGAATGTATCTGATGATAGCTGCTACAGATATTTAAAAGTTTGCTGCACTTTTGACAAAGAACATATTTGCCCTGAAACATAACTATTCATCCATAAACTGGTCCTTCCAATTTTGTACTCATTTAAAGTATTGCCTTGAATGGAATACATACATACATGCATGCATCCATCCATCCATCCATACAGGCATGATGCCATACCCGTTGTAACAACATCCGTGAAAGAACGAGTCACGATCAAGCACCTGTTCTTGATGGAAAAGAGCAAGAAGCAACAGTATTGACAACACTGGATTGTCTCAAATACTTTCTGTAAATAAACAGTCCTGCTTTGATAGTTTTTAAAATTTCAGTTAATCTTCAAGGCAGGGATGTTATGCTTCTTTTATTGGACCATGCAATATTAAATATGTACAGATATCTGTGGCGATTTAGTAGTCAACACATTAGAAATAAGAACATGTCTACAGGTTTTAGCCCAGGGTATGTTTTAGTGGATTGTACTTCGGTTAATATTATGTCGTTATATGTAGTATTCTATGATGTGTTATTGATACTTGTTGTGTTATCTAAAACCTTGCCAAAGGGAACAACTAAACGGTTTTTAGAAGCTAATTTGGGAAGAATGGGTTTATTAACTGTTTTTTAGAAGCTAATTTGGGAAGAATGGGTTTATTCCATTTTTCCGTTTTTGCATTCTACCAAAGACAACATCACACAATTCTTAATCCACGTTGAAAAACATTCAGTTTCATCTTCCATATTTAGTACATAAACTAAGTAAGAAAAACTGTCAAAGCAGTACTTGATGTGTTACCATTAAATTGAGTCATAAATGAAATGTGAAATTTGGGGATGGACAGGCAAGGACATGGACACAGCATGTGCTCCTCTCCTCTGTGCAGACGAGTCAGAATTTCTCTTAGGGTTGGCAAAAAACAAAACAAGAGCATTTGGCCAAGTGGTTTCACTAATTTTAAAAACACTGGAGGACAATTCCCGTTGCTTTATCCACGACAGTTTGAAAAAACAACAAACACTCTTTCTAAATCAACATTACAACAGACAAGACCCGAAGTTCAGTTTTCATATATGTTGAGCAAGTAATATATAACTTCTTTGAGAAGCATTTTAGAAGTTGTATAGATGAAGGAAAAACAGGTCATATGGACAGTCTAGTTCTTTATTGCAATGAGTCTCATTACACCGAAACGTCGCACTCAGTGCAGTAAAGAAGTTGACTATCCATAGAGCTTGGTTTTCCTTCAAGTAATATATATTCATCACAAATATATTTAATTGCCTAGTATCCAAGTTGATTTCACAATCAGTTCCATTAGTGCTACGATTTCAGAGCAGATCAGCAGAAATGTACGACCCTCGTCAGTGAGCATGTGTTTTGTCATTGTCCTGCAATGCCAGTGCTCGTCTACTTTACATTACTATTGTAATAAACGCGATTTATAGAATCCAACGTTTGCTCACAGAACCATTGCTCTAACGGGGTGTGTTTGTGAGTAGTCGTGCATGCATTAAATATCATATTCATGATTATTGCACCCTTTATATACCGGCGGTGCAGATACACTACAGGTGCAAAGTACGTTTATGGATAAAAATTCTTTATTCTATTTTGAATTAGACTTTTCGCATTTAGTCCTTATAAGTTGTCAAGAGACTTGTTGTCTTGCTTGAAAACGGCATAAGGGTCGAAACGTCTCATCATAAAGAATACAGACGCAGATATTATTGATTGTGGCGTAAAACAACATTCAACCACATGTTCATAGACTCGCAGTTTGTTGAATCATATACACTATGCATTGTGCTGCATCAGGCGAACAAACACTTGATTCTGTATACACATTGTGTGTGTGGTTGTTGCTGCAGTTAGCGAGGGCAGTCATCATGATAACACTTATCGCGAAAACCTGGTATCGTGACTGACCGTAAATATCAGTGGTAGAATTGGTCATCAGCAACCCATTATTGTCGTAAGAGGCGACTGGCGGTTCAGGCTCCATGACCCGGTCCATGCATGTCAGTGTGTCCAATTTGCGTAGATCGTTGCTCATGTCAATCACTGGATTGTCTGGTCCAGGTTCGATTACACACCGCCGTAATTTAGCTGAAATACTGCTTCGTTAAACAACACACTGATTTTACCATACGGAAGTGTATTTGGTTGTGTAGTTCCGCCAACTATTATTTTCTGCAAATTAAATTTACATAGCACAGTGAGATTAGACTTCATGCAGTCGATCATATATTTTGCAAGACTGCTTGGTTGTTTTTGAAGAATGTCCTGGTATATGAGGATCTGTGGGTGAATTCTGTCTTAAAACGGCTGGGCAGAGAGGCAGCTTTGGGGAACTGGTTTGTTTCATCCCGCGGACACGGGTTAAGTGACAATAAAATGAGTTCATTATTGAACAACATCTGGGCTGAGATCTTATGACCATGGACCCCTCTGACACCAGTAAACTGCGTCAGCTGAGACCACTCTTTCACTCTGTGTCTCCCTGCTAAGGTTTTTTACATACATTTCAGGTATTTACCATGGACTCCGGAACTGGTCAAGAACTGACCATCCCGACAGCTGATGTGGTTGTAGATCCCCCTGATGGGTTAAAGGCGTGGTGTTTAGTATTCGTTGTTATGATTTTAGCCTGTCTGAGAGGAACATTCATAGAGCTCATGCCACAAGTTCTGTTGTTTATGGGAAGTACAAATAACACATCATCTGGAGGCGCGGGACACATTGAGATTTTCCCAGTACTGCCAGTGGAGGCACAAACAGTAGATAACACTTATAAGGCTCTGTATTCAGTGTCAGGTAAGCAGTTACCTGGCCCCGATTTCTCGAAACAAACTTAAGTCTGAGTTTCGACTTAAGTTAGAGTTTTTACTCAAATTTGAAAAAATGCATTTCCCAGAATGAACTAAAATCGATATTAAACTCAAACATAGTAGACAATTTGAGTTTGGTGGATAGATTACTTAAGTTGTTTGGGCTTTTTAATTTAAAACATCCAGTTGAGTTGAAAATTCATCCGTTTCAAATTGTCCAACTCAGTTTGAAATTTGAGTAAAAACTTAAGAGAAATCGGGGCCAGATCTGTTCTTTATGAAAAGTATCGGATTAGCAGGCGACGGACAAAGCTGGGGTTACAATTTACCTACTTTAGATGTTCTTTTAATGGAGGCACAAATAATAACGGAAACTCTGTTTTAGATAACAGGAGTACCTTTGAAGCAATAACTAAATCATTTATTGTCATTGATAGAGATCAGATATTGTTTTAGGTCAGGAATCCAACAGGAAGTTGTCATATTTTCTCGCTTTCAGTGTCTTTATGGTCATAAAATCGGCTTGCTTTACAGTGCACACTGAGACATTGATCACATGGAATTCATTAGCCCCTCAGTTGTCAAGAGCTATATAGAAAATGAAGAATTTACTTCAATATGTCGTTTGTCTAAGGAGACATCTGGCAATCTGGCAGTGACACCCTATTGGAAAGATAAATATTGGAACATTGCTTCGAGATACCCTCAATGTATCATACAAAACTAAATCCCAGATTGCTCATTGAAATTATTAGAACAAAACTGTAGACGATACTAAGATATCAGAGACACTATTCAGCTCATGCCCCACCAACCTAGTCTACCTGAAATCACTCGAGTATGCATGTTATAGTGTGCATGTTACAGAACGAGATCATGACCACGAATGGACCAGGAGATCTGCCTTGCATTGTCTGGGGATTGTCTGGATTAGGGCCCATTGCGGATTGTTAGGCGTTTCGAGAACACAACATCCAATTTCACCCCACAGCTATTCAGTGGGATGGAGGGGAGGGTTGTTCAAGAAAATTCCCGGAAATTTCGTTTCGTTAATATTTCCATTTGGATATTATTTATGTGTCGACGGACCAATCACACGTTTGATGGCCCAATCAGACGCTAGATGGCCCAAACCACTAATCATGGCAAGTAGACCATCAAGACGGATCAGGCCTGCCAAGACCCTCTCAAAACTGGCCACGTAAATTATATTATCAACTAAATTTATGTATTGAGCACTATATAATTGTGTTCAACTATACAAATAGAAAGAGTATCGCAACTCCTACCATTGTTGATGTCCTTAAAACCACATGTATGTTCATATAATCATGTTCGTTTGCATGATTATTGTGACACTTCCAGCGCACCATACGATACATTTAAACATGCATGTGCTACGATCAAAGACGAATATCACTTGCAATGCGACGTCATTACGCAAATATTAAGTTTCAAGAAATTGTTTCTGAGGCTCGATAACTTGGAAAATCAATTGATTTCGTTTCAAATACGTTGCCTCCCCAACTGACTACTGCTCACAGATGGTACGTTATTGGGATATAGAATGCTGGCTTATCATTGAGGGCTATTGCAAGAGATGTTGGTTGTATTCCATCGACTATAAGCCAATTGGCCTGAAAACATCAACAAACTAATGACGTTAAGGATTGTCCGCGTTCAGATTGACCACGAGTGACTACTCTTTGGGAGGATACTCTTTCTCAGTATCACAACAAGTCATTTGGTGTTGTACTTTTCTCAATGTGTATATTATATATTTGTTTTAATTTACCCTTCCATTGATTATTGTTGATTATTTCATCAATGGTGTTGCAGTAATAACAAGTTGTATTCTGACTGTCTCGGCTGGTTACCGGTCGATGGCGCTGATCGGAATTTTTCTGACGGCAGTAGGGTATCTCGGAGCTGCTTTCTGTGACATTTCCAATATCTCTCTCATCTCCTTCCTGTACGGGGCACTACCAGGTTAGCTTTGACTATTACTATGTCTGTAAACCTACAGCCTGAGGGTTTAATATTACGAAGTTTATGGTACATGGTTATGTGTATGCTGAAAACAGGAAACTGGTATTACTTTAGAAGACTTTCCCACATGCAGAGGATGCCAGTAAAGCTACAGCCTGAGGATTTAATATTTTGCGGTACATTGCTAAGGTTTTAGTTGAAATCACGAAACTGGTATTACTAAAGAACCCATTCCTAAATACAGAAGATTGTTTCTTTAGTTGAAGCACATATGTATAATACAACCATACAAGCCACACATATTCAAATATGAATTCAATGCATAACTCACTTGGTTTACTTGCCCTGATTTGTCCCCTCCATAGCTTATCGGGGGGTTCCAAAAAGCTGCAAACTTACATCATTTGTTCCAAAAGATAACTAAAGATTTGATGATCATGCAGAGTTCTTTTGTCAAACTTTAGGTATCGGGCACAACTTGATCGAAGTGGCAATTCTTGCGGCAGTCCTGCAATACTTCAGAAGACGCCGACTGTTGGCTCTATTCATCGTCGACGGTGGTGCTCTTCTTGGAGTTTTGGCTGCTTCTTTAATGTCAGTGTTCTTTACTGGATTCCCTGGCATCAACATCTGGAAGAGTTATCTACTCGTCCAAGCAGGTGCTGCTTGTGTTATGATTCCGTGTAGTCTCATTCTGAAACCCCTGAATACCCGGATGAAACGTCCAGCCAATCAAAGCCTAATATCATATGTGATGGGTATGGATGAGCTGAAGGTGTTCCGATCTCTACTACTCTACGTCTTCGCAGTGGTCTGCTGCTTGTGGGACGGGGGTAAGAAATATCACGAACCGAATTCAATTCTGAACAAGAGCGACAAACATGTTGACACAATATAGAATAGGTGCATGAAAGATTTACTTGGTGTTTAATCTTAAATACTATTTTGTGTAATTTTACGTTTCCATAATATACGTATTATTCTCACTTTGCGAAGGATCAAATCATTGATTCAACAGAAAACTATGATGTGGGGTCAAGTTTGGTTTAAATATCTAAGTCTATTGCATGCATCCACGTTTTCAATGTCATTTCATTTGGTAGATCCCACATCTGCTATTGACAGTTGTTGTGTTCTCATCAATGACCCATGCCATGATTTGCAAAATGGTTGATTGGTGCCATGAAAACTATTCTTATGGTCACTCATGTATCAAGTGCATATGGTTAGATTAAAGTGACTGTTTTCCTAAAGATGTGTTACCATATCATTATTTATCCACTTTTAAATGGACGCAATTTCACATTATAAATCTAAGTTTAAGTAAAGTTGCAATTTTTTGTGATCCTTAGCAAAGTGTGAGTGGTATATAATATCTATTTTGAAATGAACCTAATTCTTTGTGACACTTATTAGACCCAGAAAGTGTCAAAATGTCATGGAATCACTCTGAAGTATTAATAGTTTTACCGTATCCGGTCATATTTTCTTTCTGTTACAAACTTTTTTGTTTTCTGCCTTAAATCTACCGCTGTCTTCAGGTGGAATTAAGATAATGGAATAGATACAAAAAAATACAACTGATAAAAAAAAGTCTGTTTCTCTTTGTAAAGGTATCAGTGTCATTGAGACCAAACTACTGAATTTCAAGGGTCTGCTCTGGATTTTGCCCACTGGTCAGATGTTGATGTCAATTATATTGCTGGCCAGTCTGGTGGGCGCCTGCATCTCGGGCTGTATCTGCAGTAATATCTGTCTGAAGAGTGTGGTCATTGCGATGGCTGTCTTCAGTGGCATCCTGTTCCTTCTCAACATAACGGCCAGTCTGTTTTATGACACCATCTATACCATCACCTATTCCGTACTGGTGGGAATGTTCAAAGGTAAATACTTCTGAATCATATGTAGTCATTTGTGATGGCCCTGTCCTCTCGGAATTCGCCAACAGAGTTATGTCTCTTTCTAATCCCTCTAACTACGAACAAAGGTTTGTCAGCACCAACCCATATTTAGACCTGCTTCACTTTGGAGCCTCACTCCGCATTTAGCCAGCATATTGTGACATAACTGAGACACTTAATAAACCCAACACACATAGAGGTTAGCTTTAGGTGATGTGATAGTGGTAGGGGAACCTCACCCCGCATTTAGCCAGCATATTGTGACACTGAGACACTTAATAAACCCATATATCACAGGTTAGCTTTAGGTGATGTGATAGCGGTAGGGGAGCCTCACCCCGCATTTAGCCAGCATATTGTGATATAACGGAGACACTTAATAAACCCATATATCACAGGTTAGCACATAGAGGTTAGCTTTAGGTGATGTGATAGCGGTAGGGGAGCCTCACCCCTCATTTAGCCAGCATATTGTGACATAACGGAGACACTTAATAAACCCATATAGCACAGGTTAGCACATAGAGGTTAGCTTTAGGTGATGTGATAGCGGTAGGGGAGCCTCACCCCTCATTTAGCCAGCATATTGTGACATAACGGAGACACTTAATAAACCCATATAGCACAGGTTAGCACATAGAGGTTAGCTTTAGGTGATGTGATAGCGGTAGGGGAGCCTCACCCCTCATTTAGCCAGCATATTGTGACATAACGGAGACACTTAATAAACCCATATAGCACAGGTTAGCACATAGAGGTTAGCTTTAGGTGATGTGATAGCGGTAGGGGAGCCTCACCCCTCATTTAGCCAGCATATTGTGACATAACGGAGACACTTAATAAACCCATATAGCACAGGTTAGCACATAGAGGTTAGCTTTAGGATGATGTGATAGCGGTAGGGGAGCCTCACCCCTCATTTAGCCAGCATATTGTGACATAACGGAGACACTTAATAAACCCATATAGCACAGGTTAGCACATAGAGGTTAGCTTTAGGTGATGTGATAGCGGTAGGGGAGCCTCACCCCTCATTTAGCCAGCATATTGTGACATAACGGAGACACTTAATAAACCCATATAGCACAGGTTAGCACATAGAGGTTAGCTTTAGGTGATGTGATAGCGGTAGGGGAGCCTCACCCCGCATTTAGCCAGCATATTGTGACATAACGGAGACACTTAATAAACCCATATAGCACAGGTTAGCACATAGAGGTTAGCTTTAGGTGATGTGATAGCGGTAGGGGAGCCTCACCCCGCATTTAGCCGGCATACTGTGACATATACCCAACCTACTCACTGAAGACACATAGAGACTATCATTGGGTGATGTGAAAGAGGTAGTCTTTGTTAAGCGTTTATCATAAAATAACATCATTTTATCATTTATCATATTAACATCAATGTGTCCACTGGCCCAGCCGGTTCAGTCCGCCACTTAGCTTCAATTCAAATTGTAAAATGCTGCAGAACTGCGTCACCTTCAGTGTTCTTCCCACGTTAGGATGTCACGCCATGATAAAACTGTTCCAAGATAAACCATTGACTCATCATGCCATGATAGACCTGAGGCTTCGTTAGTGGTTAAACCGGTGGCCCCAAAACCCTATTGAGCCAGGACTTCACTGGATGTTTAAGGTGCTATTCAAAACTGATGCAACTGTAAGTCAGTATAGAATATAATGACATACTCTCAATCTCAATTTCGGACTTTTTTTAATCCGTACGCAACAGATGTCACTTATATTACTAAATACATTTTCGAGACCACTCGAAAAGAAACTAACTTCTGGTTGCTATTGTCATGTCACAGGTTTTGGAAACCTCTTGGTTGAGTATTCTTTGCCGCTGTTTCTCGGGGAGGAAAACGTTGCCATCGGTGCAGCCATCATGACCTCGTTTCAGTCCATTGGAAAACTGTTGATGCCAGCCATAGCAGGTAAGCACTTCATAACCACTAATATCTGAATAGAGATTACATATTGACAACGTTGTTTCAAACAAAGTTGTTGCATCGTGGTCATATACAGTGAGTGAGTTTAGTTTTTCGCCGCTTTTAGCAGTATTCCAGCAATATGACGGCGGGGGACACCAGAAATGAGCTTCACATGTTGTACCCATGTGGGGAATCGAACCCGGGTCTTCGGCGTGACGAGCGAATGCTTTAACCACAAGGCTACCCCACCGCCCTTATATAGAGTGTTCTATACCTCTGTTCACAGAGGAATCTATCGCAATCGGACTATTCTGATTGAAATATTTGGCAAAACATTACCTTATCTGATTGACGTAATTCATGTGATCACCTCAGTTGTTCGGACCCAGTAAAAACGTACACGTCTCACAAAGCAGATTCTCTAAATTGTTTTTTTATTAATGAATAATAAAACATGAAACTTTTCACCAGACATTTAATGGTGAGACTCGGCGATGGTGGTGGGGCAATTTGAAAAACAACAACCATTGTTTCCAGAAAATACTAAAATATAATGATTTCTCCAACCTGTTACGAAAATGCCGAAACGCGATATGAAAAGTTTAGCTCCTATTGTCGATCGATCTTTTGAAGATTTATTAACATGCAAGTTCAGCGCCAAAAATATGGTTATATCTCACCATTCGTCCAATTTCTAAATACCTTGACAAAGAATTTGATTCATATGCAGTTACTGTAACACTCATCGGTTTAAATGTATTACTTCAACAACTATCGCCGCGGGTATTCCTCATAATGAAGTATTGTTCATATTTAATCTTGCAGATGAAATCGAAAAATCGACCAAAGACGTAGACATGTGTTTTTACTTTGCCGGAGTTATCATCTTCGTGTCAGCTTCCGCCATCGTGTTGGCCTACCGCTTACACCTGCGTGTGACCAAATGGGTGGTAGTCTCAGACAACCCAGACAAAACGCCAACCAAGGAACCAGAGTGCACTGGGGTGGTCACGGAAAGATTCTGATGACAGCAAGTTAAGGCATATCTTGTGGAACATATTTCACAAACCTGACCAGGAATGTTAGAGAGCTTTATGGGGCTTTATGCATGTAAGTTTAAAAGATCTGACTCAAAGCATAAATACATTAAAAATTTCGGAAGTCGGTCGATCAAGATTACAACATTTAATGTCTCAGTCAGCTTTCAGAATGGTTTATGGTACATGCGTGGTGGACATTTTCACATTTTGCGCATCGGTCTTTGACAGTGATTCAACAGCTGCTCGTGATGATCAACGCTGCTCTTGGCAAAGGATTTTTGTGGATGTGGAAAGTGTTTTGTTGCTTTGATTCAAAATGACATTATTTGTTTGACCTCATTTATTCGAATGTGTCCATTTGCCGAATGATGTGCTTCCCTGATGTCAGACGTCGTCATAATTATATTTCTACCACTTTGTTTTTCAGCATTCATAATTTCTGATGTGTGTCAGGCTCGATTGGCCTATTTCGGATACATCGCTTATATGCACACGCATGGGCATCCGTTAAATCAAGTATGCATTGAATATATTTCTATATCTGTAACAGTACCTACATGTATGCTACAGTATTAAAAACTTCATTTACGCACACATTATTACTTTCTTTTGTTCAGTCTAATACCGACAAGGAAAAATGATAAGTCTATATGTACCCAATTGTCTACAATATTACCAGTCAAATGCCAATCCACTTACCCATGACCAAAACGTGTGCATCGCACCCCTTATGGAAAATCAATGTTTTATTCATTAAAATGTTACAAGTAAAGTGACGTTTTTTCTTCATTTTTGTGAGCACCTTCAGAATACAGCACCACACCTTCTCGTGAGGACGATTTCTGCCGTAGGTCACGTGTCATTAAGACAAGCAACCACTTTGTGAGAATCCGTCGGACGCGAACCCGCGACCTTCGGATTGTTAGCGCGACAGCTAACCGACTGAGCTACGTCCACACTGTTACACAATGTGCAAATTACGCACGTACAATTACGAAGGTTACGGATAGTCTTGGTGTCTTGTGATTTTAATCTACGGACACATTACCGAATGGACCCGATGCCATTTGGCACACTCGTCCCATTCCGTAATCTACAAGATACCGTGTGGCGTGGAATAAGTCGATATGCCTCAAACTGAAATGGGTTGTTTACGTCAGGCGTCAGACGTAGATTTCACGGTGCATGCATGAATGACGTGCTTTAATATAAATCGGGTGATTTTGTGACAGAAAAGTGATGTAGGGAACACTGTAAGGATAATGTGGATCGCACTAAGGAACGAAGGAGACATGAGCATGTGTAGTGACGGCACGAGGGTGAGTTAGCCTTCGAATCATTACTTTACAAAATTTATGTTGCGTGTGAAAGAGGCTTGAGTGCAAATTCCAGGCCAATTTCCATTAGCCCAAACTTTCTACATTAAACCATTTCATAGTGTATTTTCGACGTTTTTGGTTTCCAGTTTTTGTGTGAAAAAAAAAGTATTAACATGCAAAAAGGAAAAACAACAAATGGTACCCACGTATTACACCGGAAGCTGTCGCGAGACCTCTATTATTTGGCGTCACTATTTGGCTCGTCATGAATCAACATACGTAATAAATGTAACAGAATAAGCACGTTGATACATAACATTACTTTGAAATATATGTTTGTCCTAACTGAATTCAGCCATAATTCACATCATCATTTATCGAAGTTATGCATACATCATTTTTGTTGGTGTGAGTACCCACTGGGCGAGTTAAGTTTAGTTTCTTGTTAACCGTCACACTCAGCAAAATTCCAGCTTTGCTTCGGCGAGAGTGAGTGAGTGAGTAGATACAGTTTTACTAGTCACGGCGTACATATTGCCTGAGGTGGCGCTAATTGATGTGTACAGTTTCATACCTTCATCTGTCGATCGAAGCTTTTAGTTGGTTCAAATCCCATATTTACACATCTGCTTAAGGGTTGGTACTTCGTGCTTTTGCCGTGCTGCAACATCGAACAATAATTGAGCGGACAAATAAAATCATTTCGCAATTTATGTCGACCACTACAGGAAACGACATGCCAATATATTTATCGGATTTAAAACAGAGACAAACATACTAAGTATACATATCCATACTTTGGCTGTTAAATAAACAGAAAACTATAAAACTATACAGGCTTTGTTTTCTGATGACATGGGAATTAGCGTACATGAACAACAATAGTTAAATCGATCACATGGAACGTATAAACTTTTACAGAGTCGAGTCGATTGGTTCGTGGTGTTTACAATCTGTAGTTTGTAACGTTCGCATAGTTGTACCTTGTATTATTTCACGTTTGGATAGGTTCTTATACCACTGCTACATAACGGTAAGATTGTGTAATGGAAATTAGAGACCTCTGAAACAGTCTTGACAAGTATTTATATGTGGCTTACCGAAATATTAGTCAAAAGAGATTTGAACAGGATTGAACCCTGGATACTTAGCCTATTTTGGAAACTTGACCGGTTTTGCTGTCAGGTCAATATTACTATCTCTGGTTATGTTGCTTTAATCTTAAAAAAATATATCTAGGGCCGAATTCTTTGGTTTATGGTAAATGTGATAGGTATCCATCTCAAATAGTTTCACAAACTAGATGCCTTAAATTATTGTTTAAAATTTTAGATTTGCAGGAAACAATGTTCACCTGAAACCGCTAACAGCGTACTTTTACATTCTGATAGTATATGGGTTAAAAACATTAGAAATCTTTTATTTTCCTATGGTTATGGCATTGTTAATGTTCATGTGTATTTGAAAGAACTACGGGAACGTTCCACAAATATATATTTCAAAACTTGAAATTGATATTTTAGCGATAATACACGATGCGAATCCTACAGATTTGAAAATGTCTGGAAAATTACGCGATATAGATTTAGGCTTTGGGTTTGTCGGAATTAAATATCCATGCATTTAAAACAATAGGCATCAATAAAAATGAGCGAAACTGTATGTTATGTAAAAGAAGTATAGAGAATGAAATCCACTATATTTTTACGAAACGAAATCCTTAACGAAGCACGTTCACCTTTGAGCCGATAGACACGTGTCCTTCCGTCAGCTAGGTGAAAAAGTAACGTGACTCATCGGTGACGAGAACTCTTCTCCCCTTCACCCCATCGGAAGTGTTGTCTGCTCCGCTTGAGATAGTGATGTCGATGTTCTGGTTGTCTAATTGTATTACCTATTAAAGTAAACATTGCTGATCATTTTTGTAAATTTCGTTCAGTTCGAACAACAACTGCTTGGCTACCCATCTTCGGCCATTTTAACACACTCTGTCTCTGGTTAGATTCCAGAAATATTATTCACAATGGAAAAAAGAGAAATTCCGAGTCACGATACCTTTGGCCTCTGCGTATATATCGGAACTTCTGTAACGTGTGCAGTTGGGCTATGAATTGTTACTCTGTAACATTTACACAATAAACCTCTTCTTCTTCTTCTTGAAAGCCTTTAATGGTGGAAGTCATAAGTTTGTGAATCAACCTGGAAAACCGGTCTAATCATGATGTGAAACAAGCAGATAGACAAACTGATCCCGAAAGTCTTACCCCTATGAGATAACTACAGTGATAAATCCAAGAGTGCTACTGGTGAAAAGGCCTTTGAGATGAGTCGACACGACAAGGACCAAGGTTCCCCATCAGAGGAAGCAGGGACAAAGGTGGGTGTGTCTGTGTAAGATATAATATTGACATGTATGAGTTTAACATACGTTATATTTGGGATTACACTTTCTTAGTAAAGTACAGATTCTAGTACTTTTGGGGTTGAGTCCCATCCGGGATTCGAACCCACACCCTCAGAGTCAGGCACCTAATCGCCAGCACACAAAGTCAGACGCCTAGACCGCTCAGCCACCTCGGCTTCCACAAAAATGGAAGTCGGACAACTGGTAGTCTGGCGATTAGGTGCCTAGACAATATTACATACCGGCCATGCTGATATACTATAATTGAAAGATACTTTAATGGATGCCAACTTCTTCATTCTATGCTTGAAAAACGGCATTAATATCTCTCCATAATAGAATACAGTTTCTATAAGTAAAAACGTATCCTGCCTTTATTGCTTGCAAAATCTATAATAATACCAAACAGTGTCGCCTCAGAGGTAAAACAACATTCAATCACATGTTCGTAGATTCACATTAAATTTTGTTGAACCGTATACATTGTGCTGCATCAGACAACGAACAAACACAAACTTTTATGTACAGATTATGTGAGTGGCTGTTGCTACGGTTAGCTAGGAAACTCATAATGCTAACCCTTTTCGCGCAAAACCTGGTATCGTGACTAACCCGTGAACACCCGGGGTAGAATTGGTCTTCGGGAAGAGGCGACTTATGCTATCGGACGTTCAGGCTCCCTGACCTGGTCCATGCATGTCATTGTGTACCAATTGCGCAGGTCGTTGCTCACATCAATCACTGTCGTCTCCAGACTTGATTGTTGGCACACCGCCTTAAGTTAGCCCGAATACTGTGCGTTAAACAACACGCAAATAGAGAAACATCACTCATGTTGCCATACGTCCTCAACAGTTCTAAGTATTCTGGCCAAGGATCGATCATCAAACCATTATTATCAGAATAACAGGAAAATATGTCCAAGACTGCTTGGTTGTTATTGAGGAATGTCCTGGTAAGTCAGGATCTGTGGGTGACTTGTGTCTAAACTCGGCTTGGCGGAGAGGCATGTAGGGGAACTGGTTTGTTTCATCCCACACACACGGGTTTAGTGCTAATAAAAAGTGTTCATTATCGAGCAACATCTTGGATCAGATCTATGACCAGAGACCCCGCTTACAACAGCAAACGTCGTTAGTCCAGACCACTCTTTCACTTGTTTCTGTGTCTTCTTGCTGAGGTTGCTTTTTGTTGTTGTATATTTCAGGTATTTACCATGGACTATGGAACTGGTCAAGAACTGACCATCCCGACAGCTGATGCGATTGTAGACCCCCCTGATAGGGGAAAGGCATGGTGCTTGCTATTCTTTGCTATGATTTTAGCATCTTTGAGGGAAACATTCATCGATCTTCAGCCAAAGGTTCTGTTGTTAATGGGAAATACAAGTAGCTCTTCGTCTGGAGACGCGGGACACATACTGACAGTTCCAGTCCTGCCAGTGGAGGCACAAACAGTAGATAACACTTATAAGGCTCTGCATTCAGTGTCAGGTAAGCTGTATACATGTAGAATTAAATCAAATAATATATACCAAAGTTCGGCAACCAGATCTAATCTTTATGAAATGTATCTCATCTGCAGGTAACGGACAAAGCCAGGGTTTACAATTTAAGTACCTTAGATGTTCTTTTAATGGAAGCACGAACTATAATGGAAGCTCAAAATTCTGTTTTCCATTCTAAGTGTGTGTTGAAAGCAATAACTAAATCATGTCATATCAATTATAGAGATCAGATATTGTTTTAGGTCTCGAATCCAACAGAGAGTTGTAATATGTTTCCTGCTTTTAGTGTCTTTATGGTGATGGCATCAGTTGGTTAGTGTTGTAATTGATCAACTCAATTAATAAGCACATCAGTTGTCAACAGCTATGTAGAAAATGAAGACTGACTGAGTTCTGGACGTCCACATGTAACAACGCCAAAGACTGGACAGATGGAT